TCGTGATAGGTACTTACCCGGACGGACCTGCCCATTCGTGCAACGGCGAAGACTATTGCGTAACCCTACCGCAGTTACGGTATCTTTTGTGTGTACAATTTTTTATCAAACGATAGCAACTGTTCATTATATTATTTGGCGTTTATCATTACTGTAATAAATTATACATGTTACGATTTTTTAGACTCTACATATATTCCCTGACGTAATCGAAATACATTTTAGCGATCAAAGAACAGTTTGACTTCAAAATGGAGTTGCGTACAGAGACACCGACACGCGTAAGGGTCTAAAAATAGGGATCAAATCGTATGAACGAGGTCCCGGTGGGGCATTGCGGCGCCCCTGAACCGGACGCGAGGCAATTGGGACGCACGCGCTGCAAATAGATCCCGTAGACGCGTACTCAGTATAATCCATTGCCTCGTGTTTGCTCTGTAAAACATTTAGTAAAGGCTACCCTAATGAAAGGAGTCATAACAACAGGCTCTGTGTCGAAGAACACATTGAGGGTAACGATGTGTGGATGACCTCGCCGCTGCCGATTTTATACTTAAATCTATCTGTATGCTTATATTATTAAAGAAAACATCACCGCAGACTTTCTTGCCAGTTCTTCTCAGGATTAGGTCTAGTTTAGTGAACCGGTGACAGTTTTTTTTAAAAAAAGCTTAAAAAAGTGACCATGACCTTGAAAGCCACCTTCCAATCTCGCCTTCCTGACATCAAATGCTTGCTCTCGTATCAGACTCGAAACTTGCCGACTTAGCAACTGGGTCCACCAAGTCACACAAATCACACAATATGTATTTTGCTTGTCTTTGTAACGTTTCTTTGTCATTATTGCCAAAGATAAGTTAATTATATCATGTTTATTATTTATTAATAGACAATTTTTTTTTATTTGGAAACGGAATACTAGCGGCGAGTGTTACCCAACCTGAGTCAAGTGGGGATGTGGCCGTAAATGGTTAAAGTTCAGACTTAGTGTTGAATATTCACTAGTTCGTCGTAACCTGTTTAATTATAATACTTTTGAGATCATCACGACGTTCAACAATTACTTGTTCAAGTGTTTGTGTCATTGTTTCGAGAATATCTTTGGAACTCGTCGTGTCGTCAATAGTCTGAAAACGCTTCTATTATACGAGGCACATTCACACGTTGATTATAACTATATGACCGCCTTTTGTTTCTGTATTATTCAAACCCGCTCAAGGTCGAGTGATTATAATATCTCCATATTCTGGTTATGTTTTCTGATACGTTATTTTTTATACATTAAACACTTGCGTACATACCTCTTTTACCTTGAATTTAAAAAACTACCTGAAAATGAACAGCCACCGGTACTCACGAAGATTGACAGGGTTGAGAGTCGCTCTGCACGGCAGCGTCGCAACGACGACCAGTATCTCTTTTACTCTATGTAGAGGCTTCTGTGCTGAGTTCATGACACAGAAAGTAAAAATAGTCGAGTCAAAACGAATTTTACGTGATTCTGATCGTAGTTGTTGTATTGCATGTTCTAGCATTTTATGCTGAATTTGTGTAGATGGATTTAAATTACTTTGATTTACAATACCTCTATTCGTTACAAAGTTTGCATTCTCTGTAAGTACACTTCTGTTGATCTGCTCAGCGCCAAGCAGGACACACCATTTGGAGGGTCGACTGCATCTACTATTATAATTATAAACTATACATGTGTGAAGCTAATTGCGATACAGTTTGCGATGCCATGAAGTTGTACCACTCATGCTGCTACTGGTAGCGCCTGATGGAGACCACATGTGACGCATACTATCATGCACCGTTGACCAGCCGTCTAAAACATGTGCCTTTGAAAGCCGTGCGACCCATTGGGTGTGCAATTTACAATTGTCAGTCGTCATAACATTTTTTTTAAACACTTATTAAAAATACCTCTAATAAAGTTTGAAATTTCCAGAATAATGGACTAAAAGATGCGCCCGTAGCCACTGAGCTAAACTTTTTATTTTACACTGACAAAAATATCAACGTGTTATATATATATATATTCTACTTTGTATTTTATTGAATTTACAAGAATGTTTCGCGTCATTTAATGTTTCCTTTACAGCTTTTTAAATGTTAGCTCTGCTATTAAAATTAAATTAAATTAAATTTTCATAAATTTCATCTTAAATGCAGAGAATAGCCTTATAAAAATGAATAACCTTTAAGTCCTCCAATAAAGCAAAGATCTAGGTACTCGTTTCGACGCAGCTGATGCAATTACTTCCATTCAGTACATTGAAAGGTAATTTATATAACCTGGTTAAACACTGTGACCGCAATCTTTTCCTCGACTCGATTTAAACAACCGCCTCTCGGCCTGTCCCATTCGTGCTCTTTCCCCAATCGTTTCCCAGCGATCGTTGTAAACATGTCTCTTTTAGCTTTGTGACGAAATTAAAACATAAAAACGCTGGAATGATAATGTCCACTTGTAGAAAATTACCGCAGCGATTTTCAACTTTTTGAAAACTTAAAATTTTCAATTATTTGCCGAAAACGAAACGCTGTTATTAAACCGTGACGTAGCGAGACATGTATATTAAGCTGTTTTCAACGGAACGACGATTTGTACAAGCAGCAGTTTATAATCGTATTAAAGACATTTTCGTGTATTTTTACGAGGCCTCATCAAACAGTCGTTTACATTTCGTTAATAAGATTCCTCCATCTCGTGTCATGTCGTTCGGGTTTTCCTCTTGCAGTGACATCATCTTGCATTGAAACATCGAAGTCTTTTATTTAGAGGAAAACTACCGACTCTCCCTTCGGTTTATGTGATTGTTTCGACGAGCTGCATACAAAGCTAATACTAATAATAAGCCCATTTGCATTCCGAGAAAATTGAAAAGCAGAAATATGAAGTAACGGTTATACAGGAGTTTAGAAATATCTATTTATTTAACTGTTACTTTGAGTACGTAAGTACTTTTACAATTAAAAATAATAAATTAGACATATTGTTCGAATTCTGTCTGTCTATTTTCTGTCCAGTTTAAAACAGAATAACACCAACCACTTTCCTAACGACGTTTTTTCGCCACAAAGTATAGGTTTATAACTTTGAAAAGAAAAAAATGTAAATAAGTTCTTATCTTTTCTTATATCCGTAACGGGTAGGTTACGAACTTATGCTATTTACGTTACACCAAGCCTGTTTATTCGCTAGGCCATTACGAGTTCGCAACGAGCAACACGAAGTCTGCAGTTGCCGTGAATTAATTGAATTTTATATCGCGAGCGCGCTTATCGCCCCTTATCGGCGGGCGCGAGTCGATAGCGCGCCAAGAATGCGCGCTCCGATACCGTCCAGTGCTGCACACGTCGCATACCGCGACGCCTCCTCCGCACAACCGCCACAAGTCCACACACAACTAAAGAGATCGCCGCAATCGAATGAATATGGACTCACACTAGCTGTTTGACTGCGCACACACTGCCTCATAATTCAGAATTGACATTTTTGAACACGTTATCAGCATGTGCTTGTTCAACCGTGTAACTATATATATAAACATACACTAATTTACTAGCGATGAAACAAATTACGTGCCGACTTATACTTAAAAAATACCTACCTTATCTATATAAATGATATGCAACGACTCAATCGGCCTATTGGATAGTGGACCTGTCGCTTGCGCTAGAGGGTCTGTGTTCGATCCCCACAGCTTAAAAAACTTAAAATATTGTGTGTGGAGAATAGTTAATATCATCTTGCTGCCTGGGTGTAGATTTATCTATAATCTGTTTTGATTTACATACAAATGAATACGAATTAAGAGTATGTTTATCAGTTACCTAGTATCCATAGTACAAGCTTGGCTTAGATAACGTTGTATTAATATATCTTGAAATATTTATTTATATAAAAACTTGAAGATATCCATATGAATATAAAATATTAAACCATATTTCGTTTTCCAATCCCATTTATTGTTTAAGAGTGGTTCGTTTGCACCGACCCCGTATTATGTTAGGGCGCGTCTATATTTAGCTTGTAGTCATCCGCTCCAGGTGTGGTGCAAGCCTAATCTGTTTATCTGTACCATGTGCGCATGTTAATTCAATTACTCTGTTATTGTACAAAACGTTTTGTGACCGGTTACAGTGCTCATGCGAATGTAATTAGAGTGAAACTAGGTTACGTCACGCGGATCGTCCTCCGGCCCGTGTTTCATTAGCACTGAGCAGTAAAATACGCCATTAAGCTTGCTTCGTGGCACTTTGATGTTTAATGTTGCGCGCCAAATTGTTCTCCCGAATTAAATTAACTGTGGTAGGGCCACGCAACAGTGTTCACTGTTGCACGAATAGGCAGGTCCTTCCGCGTTAGTACCACGACCTCACAGAAGACCGGCATGAAGTAGAAATGTTACACTTCTGCGTTTCGTCCGGTGAGTGAGGTAGCCGTGGCCCAGTTTATCAAAAGGTGGCAACGCATCTGCAACCCTACAGGCATTGCAAATGTTCACGACCGGCAGTTATCACTTAACATCAGGTGAACAACCAGCTCGTTTGCCACTTTGTCACATAAAAAAAAAAAACCCGAACCTGGCATCTGTCCTCCGCGCTGGGTGGTTCCGCTATCGAGGCTCCGGCAGCCGTTAGGTGTCGCTCTCGATTATTTTAATGTACCAACGCTTCGCGTGGCCCCCATTATAAAAACTGGGCTGCCCTTTGGCCCCATCTGCAGTAGTCTCGCAATAAAAGAGATAAAGTGGGCATGTTTTTATGTAGGTGCGCATTTTAATTTATCGAGGGTGACGTCAGCCTCTGCTGCTGCACAAATAACACGAGTACCGAGTACAGACACCAGTGCATCGGGTTATAAGACCGGCAAAATGAAAATAATCCTGGAATAAATAAGTGTCAGGAATAAACAAGTGTCAGGTGAGTATGGTGGCTGAAGGACCATTCCTTTATAGGTTGGCAACAAATCTATCTGAGGGTCGCTAAGCATGGGGCGTAAGCTTCGTATAGCCGGCTTGGAGTCCAGTGGGGAAAGTGGGTCTTCCGTGAGGTCGGCCACTCTGTGGAATCGCGAGGCGCGGGCGCCGCCGGTGCAGGCCGATAAGGTCCGACATTGAAGTGTCATTCATCGATTGCGCCACGATGTACGTGCGACGCGACGCGTACCCACGTCCGCACAGCGCGCCACCACGCTCTCGGAATATAAAACTTGGCGCTTTCCACCATTCTCACGTGGAACCAAAGGAGCAGTGATATTCCTCAAGGAGAGAGTCTTAGTTGTGTCTTACTGCCTTTGCCACCTTGCTTACTTTCAGTCAGTTTGAAGCAGTAATCGGTTCGACTTGTAAATAACCGTCTAATGACCTTAACGCAGACCGTGTTTATTTTTACACTACAATCAATTTATCGAGTTAATGCAGAAAGAACTTCAACAGTGAACAACGTTTGAAATAATTTGTTGAATATATTTATCAGTTTATCACTACTATCGCACAGGTTGCCAACGATCGCGTAAAATACATAAGCACTCTTGACAATGTCATTCCCTTCGATGAATGATTTCATAGAATAACTCCAACCAGTGCTTCGATCGTCGTCGGAGGTTTGTGGTATACGGCGGCATTTGCGCGGCGCGCTGTACATTCTTCTGGAGCGGCACCCATCGCTTGCGAAACAGTTTATCGGAACAGTCGCTGCATTCTTCACATCGAGTCGCTCCGTTGTTTGTTGCTTGTATTTTTTGTCTGTCCACTCATACACGGCATTTTGATCAAAGCTTCATTCACCATTCGACATACAAAATTATCAATCTCTTGCTACCAAAAAAATCAAAAAAAAAAATCAAAATCATTTATTCATCGACATAAGAAACTTACATTTCATTTATCAATAGTCATATTTTTTTTTAAATCTACCACCGTTTCGTAATGAGGTTCCTCTAGCGGAGAAGAAACAGGCGAAAGAAACTCCGTAGGTATCCTCTTTGTTGTAATTATTTTTTTTTAACAAAAAATTCAAAAATTATACAACTGATTTTTTTTCCTTTTAGAAATAGCTTGGGGGCGATCAACTCATTCCCAGGGGTTATTGTCTTATTAATGTATTCATTTGTATTATAAAAACCCTTTTTATAAAGTTTTTCTTTAATAAATTTCTTAAACCTGTTAATAGGCAGGTTTTGCGCATTTACTGGGATTTTGTTGTAAAAGCGTATACACCGCCCCATGAACGAGTTACTTACTCTATGGAGTCTAGTAACTGGCATTACAAGCTTGTGTTTGTTCCCAGTGTTCACATTATGTATATCAGTATTCTTATCAAAATTATTAATATTTCTACGCACATACATAACATTTTCATATATATATTGAGAGGCTAAGGTTAATATATTTATTTCTTTAAACTTCTCTCTCAAAGATGCATTCAGATCTAGATTATAAATAGCTCTTATGGCCCTTTTTTGCAAAATAAAAATTGTTTCTATATCGGCCGCGTGCCCCCATAGCAAAATACCATATGACATTATGCTATGGAAGTAACTAAAATACACAATTCTAGCCGTTTTTTACATCAGTTAGACATCTTATTTTCCTTATAGCATACGCTGCAGAACTTAGTCTATTCGCAAGTTTGGATATATGGGGACCCCATTGAAGCTTTGCATCTAGAGTTATTCCAAGAAAGACAGTCGTATCCACAAGGCCTAACTCCCCCCCCATTTATAAGTACATTGGTAGCACCCAAATGTTTAACATTAGGTGTTGAAAATTTCATACATTTAGTTTTATTACCATTTAATAGTAAATTGTTAGTATTAAACCAATAGACTATTTCTGACATAGCATTATTTACCTCGTCAAGTGTAACAAGCTGTCGATTGATTTTAAAAATGAATGATGTATCATCGGCAAATAAAACTATATCGTGTTTACTCCCTACAAAGTAAGGAAGATCATAAATGTAAATGAGAAAGAGAAATGGGCCGAGAATCGAGCCCTGCGGAACGCCCATAGATACCGTCGATCCAGAAGAACTAGCACCATTAATTACAACTTTTTGAATTCTATTAGATAGATATGACTTAATGAGGTCAAGCGCGGTACTTTTAATGCCATAATGGCGCAATTTCCTGATCAGTGTTTCATGATTCACGCAATCGAAAGCCTTGGAAAGATCACAAAAGACACCCAGAGCATCCTGTGAACTCTCCCAAGCCTCAAATATATGTTTGATCAGCTCTACACCAGCATCGGTTGTAGAACGACCCCTTGTAAAACCAAACTGGTTGTGATGTAATAATTTATTTAAGTTAAAATGTGTTAACAGCTGATCTAGAAGAAGTTTTTCGAAAATTTTACTAAGTGTTGGTAGTATAGAAATGGGTCTAAAATTAGTCAATGAAGTCTCTTTGCTTAGCGTGATCAATATATTATTCAATATGTTCTTAAAGCCCGTCTTAGTTTTGTTACTGTCTTATTCTTATATCAACGAACAATCACTTAGCGCGAAATCGAAATTGTGTTGTCAATAACTTAGTATTAGATCGCTTAGACTGGATTTCGAAATGGGAACCATTGAATCTATAGTCATCTAGTGGCTACGGCCAGTAAAATGTTAATAATAAATTGAGACTTATTCACAAAATATCGTTCACCTCGTAACAGTTCTTGTCTAGATCATTGATTGTTCGCGCACAGTTTTATTGTCGGAGTTTCGTGCTCATTCCGAGGCGCATACATTACGTTACCGGTCTCTCGTGCACCGACCAAGGTCAGTCCAGACGTAAAAGCAAAAAGAGCATAATGTGACTTATTTATGCGGGCGGCGGCGCGGACACGCACCGCAGCGTAGAAACTTGCAATTGACATATGGGTCGTGCCAATTTGTGGTAATTTACACTGAAATGTGTTTACACGGGTCAGGTATGATGACGTGCGTCATCTCGGGTTTTAATGCACCTCACTTTAGAGTGTGATAGGTCCACTTCAATATAATATAATACCTGTTATCCCGCGCTGCCGCTTGCCTGTGTAGTGGCGGATAAGTGGAAGCACTATGTGGACAAAGTTTTATTCCAATTAGATGAACGGTGTGAAGAATACGAACAAGCAGACAAACGTTGAGTTTTATATTTCATATATTTAGTTCTGTTTCTTCTAACAGTAACGTAACGTGAAGAGAAACATTTGAGAAGTCTAAGCACTAAGCAGGATTGTCTGCGGTCCTTAGTCTAATGACAATATGCAGTATTTCTTGTATGTTCTTACCTCCGGGCCATAAGCAGTGAGCGTCGACACTAGAGAAGTCACCCTCAAGGGCTCCCCTGGCAACGTCACGTGTTGCTCGTCACGTCGCACGTGTCACGTGTGCCGTGTCACGTGCACGAGCCCCGTAATTGGCCCCAACTCACCCCCAGACTACCCTCCGCCTACTCTCCATACGTACTGCGCGTACAGCGGTACCCGACGACAGATTTATAGACTGCGGCTCTGTCAGCCGAGATTTTAGATTTAAACAAAGGAGAAATTATTTTGTATTATACATATATTTTTCACGAGGACAACAGAGCTTACACGAAACAGTATTGTTTTTATTTAGAATATAACAGGCCAGTACAAGTACATTTGTGACCTATTGCTGAATCAGTCCTCTAGTAGGTACTGGTTTAGCGACAAAACGGAGGTTTTATGGGGCTAGTGTAGAAGTTAAGTAACATCTATTTCCGTGCTTTATAAAAGTCTCCAATATATTACGACATGCAGCCAGGTTTGCGAAGAATCAAGCCTTATTTTTTCATTAATTCATTCATTCATTTCATTCTGTTAGAGACTGCCACGACGCAACCCTTATAACTGAAGTATTTAGCTCAGCGGAGTGCCAACGAGTGGAGTGTGACGCGAACAAAGCGCGGGCCCTCGTGTCGGTCAGGGCCAAGGCGACCTGGTGGCTTGGTGACGTCACTGCACTTTGGACCGTGTCCTTGCGGCTGCTATGTTCTCCTGGTGGACGCCAATCGCTGCGAATGCATCCTGTTGTAACTAGACGCGTATACGGACAATATTTGAGTGTCGTATTTTAAAGTTTATAAGTTCTCTTTCCTTTAACATTGCTCACATATATAATTAAAAAATAATCCGAATCGATGTTAAAGTTCCTTTGTTACACAAAATAAATGGCTCGACTGTCATTGTATATTTGCGTGTGAGATTTACCTTTTCCAACATGCATAATATGTAGATTCAATTTATTAAGAAGCCAAACCTATAACAGATTCGGAAACACATTTAATAAACAATATAATAGAAAACTCCATTCAATATGTCATAAGCTCAATAATTTCACGTTAAATTGGCCCGAAGATATTTTTCTGACATTATTCAATTAGTGATCGTATCCATAGACATTAAACACGGTCGTTTCTCACGTGTATCAGGTTTGTGTGTTAGAAAAATTATTCAAATGAAAATAAAAGTAAAACTGGTTTTACATGCACTAGACAGACTAGACAACAACGCAGACATTACCGGGTTGAATATTTGATATGCATGTTTATCATCTACAATATTTGTGAATAATAATACAGTATCGTGTACTGTTGCGAAGAGTCATAGTTTTTGTGTTGTGTTCGTCATAACCTTGATGAGGTTGGGCAGCAAGTTGTAACGTGTATTCTATAAGCGAAAGATAACAGAGTAGACTGAAAAACGTTATTCTTTAAAATGGAATAATTGTCTAAATCATTGATAAATACTCAATGATTACATAACCATTCGTGATCCATAACCATGACTGGTTACATACTACGAAAATGTTGCACTGGTCAACTAGTTGTTACAAAGGTAAAATCACAAGCACCTATAGATATACATATATATCATATAATTAGCAATTGGACTATCGCATCGTGAGTGAAATATCTGTGAAACATACAATTTTTATTATTTATATTAAACAATAGTTGCAATGATACAACCGTATTTATTTATTTATTTGTGCTTTATTGCAAAACCTAAAAAAAGGATACAATAAAACGAACTTAACGCCATTTGGGCATTCTCTCCCAGTCAACCCGGGGCGCGAAGAGAGATTGTATTTGCTATATTGTTATTATTTATAAGCGTAGTACAGAAACGGTATTCTGTTATCCAGTCACTGACCTGAGGGCTCACCCAATATGTCGAGTACGTGACCTGCGTTTGTCTAGTGGTCGCGGACACTGTCGTAAGTACCTAGTCTCTTGTAGCAAAGTCCGGATTGGCGACGCATAAGACGGGCTTGTTGACGCCGCTCTCGGCGATGATGCGTTTCCCTCGTGTTTATATTTTAAAATGAACGAGATCTGAATATTGGACACTCGAGCGGATATTCAGGCTCGATATTACATTGCATGTATGGCTAGATTCATGCTTTTATTTTCAACCAATGGGATAAATTCAATTATTAATTGTTCGACAAATTGATCGACAGTGTATGCTGTAATGTAGTATATATGTATATACCGTGTTGCCCTTCTACTAAACAACGAGACGTTTATACAAAGCGGTGACATCATGTTGTACAAAACTGAGGAAAGCATAATTTTTAGCACAACAATAGTTTGCTCAGCAGGGATGCCATAACTCATGCATTACTAAAGTATTTTTGATATTTTCAGATAAATCGTAGGTGATACAAATTAAGATGTAATTTAATGTCTGTCTATAATAAAGTGATTTCATATTCTTTTTTGTATTAATAATAATTCGTAGTTCTTGTATAACTAATGAAGGTTTTTGTTTGCAGGTAAAAAATTCTCAGTTTTGTGTCGTGCCGAGAATCGACGAAAGCGTAAATATAACTTTTACTACTAAACACGGAAACATCGAGTTTCCGCAAACTCATTAAAATTTACGGCAGACTTAGGGAGAAGTACCTACAAGTTCTTTATAAATGCAGTTAAAGTAACTTTTGAAACACCCGACTATAACATTTTGTGGCTTCGGTTTCTACGAGGCATGGAGTGGATGGCAGTTTTTTTGCATTTTTTATTTTTAAATTTTGTTTGCAACGTTTCTGTGCAAGCATTGTTAATTAAAAATATATAAGCGCAATATTGCTTGTTGTCAGTAATACACGTTTGATTACATGTTTGATTATTTAATAATATACAGCTTGTCGTTACCATCGCGACAATAAATGAACACACGTCTAACGCTACTTGTCAATAATCATAAAAAATATTGACGTTAAACAAAATCCATAATCAAAAAAAATATTTTTCAAACAAACTAATTAAGTAAAAAAGAAACAAAATTTGTAACATCCTATACAACTCGCGCCACACCGTCGTATTACAAGCCTCTCCTTCTAACAGTATGTTTTGTCTCATTTAAATTCATCCAACCCATTCATATGCTTTGTGACCTTTACAAATGAACTTTACGTTACGCTTTTATAGGTAAGGGTGTTCTAAAATTCTTTGTTTTGGAAAATTTAATAACTCTGTAAATATTGATGTTTAAAGAATTTAAATGTTTAATACAACTTTAAAAAGTTATCCCCTATATGTGCTTTAAAAAGTTATCCCCTATATGTGTGTTCATTTATTGTCGCGATAGTAACGACACGCTGTATAACTGGATACTTAAAGGGAAGCCTTTGGAAAATCTTAAAACTTTCCTTTTCTATTATAGGTGAAGACACTAAAATAGCTTGAAAGCAAATTATTCATTTCCGCATATAACATAGTAGGTTTAATTTTTTTATATTCCTAGCTTCCACAACTTACCGTCAATATTTGTCCGGTGTTGGGCGAAAAACTGAAATACTGCGGGACCGAAAAAGCTTGGCGGCATAGCCAGGAATAAAAACGGGCAATTCGAAAAATATGTGTATATTTTTCCGAATCGACCGAAAATGAAAACTGCCGCACATGAACATCTCCAGCACCGGAGTCGTAACGAACATATTATCTCACTTAAGCCAGTTTTTAGGGTTTCGTAACCCAAAGGGTAAAACGGAACCCTATTGCTAAGACTCCGCTGTCCGTCTGTCACCAGGCATGTATCTCATGAACCGTGATACAGAATGATTTGACAGTTGAAAATATCACAGATGATGTATTTCTGTTGCCGCTATAACAACAAATAGTAAGTAACATAATAAAAAATATTTAAGTAGAGTTGCCATACAACAGACATGATCTTTTTGCCGTTTTTATAGATAGCTCGGAACCCTTCGTGCGCGTGTCCGACTCGCACTTCGCCGGTTTTTATTCTTTACTAACTTATAATATAAATTACAGACGGTGCCTTCATTTAAAACGGTTGCAGTCAATATATGTTTAAATGAATTGAGTCATCGTAAATAAATGACAAATGCATTGTTACTTTTTTCACATTCACTTGAAATGTTGTCGTTTAAAAATGCATAAGTTGCATATTGGCTTTCATTGAATGAGTATCTAAGTTATCAGCAGAATTTTACACTTGTATTACATTTGTATTTAAGGTCGAACTACATTACATAGTTTGCAATCAAATGTGATATAAAATTAAGTAAACAAAATTCGTGTTTCTCCTAACCACCTCGATGGGGTGGCTAGGGTTTATTACGACCAGCCTCCTGCCTGACGTCAACCCACCTTGGGAAGAAATACCTAGGTCTGGAACAATTGCGTGTGGGGCACACCTATACTGATCCCGTGTAGGAATCGAACCCACGACCTTTGGCAACGAAGCCACTAGCTTATCGTCTACATCAATAAACATTTCTAAACACTTGATTTAGTCCGTTCTGCCCTCTTAATCGAAACGGCGGACAGAGTAAAATAGTATATAGAATACATATTATCAGAACATATTTTTACACAACGTTATCTAGTCCAAAACTAAGCAGTAATTTATTAGTACTAATTTAAATACATTTTTTTTTCATTTATTGGAATAGATGTAATCGCAATATATCGTGCGAATCATGGACACAGACTACATTCAGTTCATAGATCTACATCTACGTATAATGTATTTTATCTTAACCTCGAATTTATGCTTAGATACCCGGTTGAAACCCGTAACATCTCTGTCTATGTCTTCTGTGGCATGATGAGGCTAGATCTACCGGGGAAGTACCGTGGCCTCGCAAAGTATTTTTTTTTTTTTTTTATTTTATGTGAAAAGTTGCCAAACGAGCAGATGGTTCACCTGATGTTAAGTGAATACCACCGCCCATAGACATCTGCTACACCCGAGGGTTTGCAGATGCGTTGACAACCTTTTTGGAAGTATGCGCCATCGCCGTAAATTTTTGCTATTTAAGCTAGTCCTCTTAAAACTTGGCATCGCACCAGCAACATATCCTTCGGTTAGCTAGTGAAGAATTGAAGAATTATTGCTTTACTGATATTCAAACTTAATCACGAGTATAATGCCATTCGGTTTATTCTTGATCGTCTCGCATATTGATTTTATTTTGAAACGTATAAAAATTGATTATAATTCATATAAATCTTTTTGTATTATTAGATTAAAAGTATTTGTAATATGGTATGGTAACAAACCTTTCTCGCCAGTCGCTCTTGCATGCGCCGTGGTGTGGATTGGAAAGCTGTGAAACGTCGGCTGGTTGCGGACATATTCTATGGCGCCGCTTGGCTATGGAGCGGAACCATAAATATGGGCGCGTTGAGGCCGGACACCGGCGCGCCCATGATGTATTGGCTTAAGGCGCTGTATGCAGTGAATTTTTAACTATTTCAAAAGTCTTTAACAACAAATGTCTAATGTCAGTCATCACTAGTCCCGTTCAACAAAAAAGATGTGCATAGAAAGGGATTTTTTTTTAATTTGAAGTGTTGTTATTTGAAGAGGCGGTTCATAATGTTAAATGATTACCGTCGCCCATGGACACCAACATAATAAAGGGTTGCAGATGCACTGTTCCCGTTTAAAAGACTGGGCCAGGGTACCTCACTCACCAGATGGATACTCGAAAGCATAATAATGCTTATGCTTTGCTTTGGTCTTCTTTAATACCGTGGAATTAGCCATTAGGTTCGTCTAGGGAAGTGTAGGTAAAAGCAGAAATTGCTCCATGTCTCCACCACGTAAACCTAACAGACAGACAAGTTAATAGAATTATTAGACAATGAATTATTTTAAACGGCGATCTTAATAGAATCGAGAAAAACAATTACGACTTAAATAATATTAATAATAATCGTTGACCTTAGTTATGAGTCATCATGTATTAACTCGGAGGGCCCGTGATAATGTATAACGTAAATTGGTCGAACGTTCGGAATTCAGATACAAATTATATATTAATAAAAAAGTTTTATTTATAACGTCTATAATATGCCAATAATCGTCACCAAACTGATAACTCAGCGTTCCTATTGCACTCTAGACCCGTCCGCTGTACTTTGTGACGTGCGCCAACCAAATGGCGGATATATGAACAGTAATGCGTACGGAGGAAGCAGTTAAATAGCGGTGCGTTTCCGCTGCCCTGGATATCTGTTTGTGTCGTTAAACACAGTCAAAAGGGAACCCTGGCCGAGCTACATAGACTTCGAGATGCAGCAAATGTCGCTTTATTTTAGTACCTTTACTATCTCTTTCCTAATTTATTTACTCATCGCTATTAGAGTGATGTTCTATGCTTAAAATATGAAACCCGCTAGACAACACAATACCCACGCAGTGCTAACACACACACCCAATTAGTTTGTCCTCATGGTACACCCGCGTACCAGGGCAGTTCTCATCCGCTCCCAGCAAACGATTGATACAAAGGCCATCGGAGTCACGGTCCGTTTCAAAACTTGACGGCCCGTAGGTGACATGCCTCCCGTTCAAGATAGTGCACGCATGTGGACATTATCAAGCATCAACCAAGACTTGATGACTCCGTGGCGCAGTTGCCAAGGTATTGGCTTCGGCGTCGGGGGTCGGAGTTCGATTCCCACACGGGACAACTATTTGTGTGACCCACAGATAGTTGTTTGGCATCTGTGTGTTTGTCCACGTAAAATTTATGTTTGTAAAACGTCCCTACAACACAGGATAATGTTATCCTAAAGTAAGGGCAATGTTTTAAAAAAAAAGAAAAAGAAAGAAAGAAAGACCCTACCCAACACGGATTGCCGTACGAACCTCATGGGTTGTGGCTAGCCCACGAGTTGTGCGTGCGATTAAGCTATAACAGTCTACGGACTGCAAACATCAGTTAAAGTTTCTCCTTTTGCACGAATCGGCAAGCTCGTCCGCGGAAGTAGCAGCTCACGGCCTCACAGCTGACCGGCGTGAAGTGGAAGTGTTATGCTTTCTTACTTTTTAACTGTTAGCAAACATTACTGTTAGATGGGCGACGGTCATCACTGAACATCAGATGAGCCACGTGAAAAGAAATACGTGTCCTTGCTAAGGTTGTGGCATGTTGAATTTTCGTTCGGCTACACATCAAGTGCTCGACTCTTGCTCTCGCGTCACACGAGCGGCGAAGAGGTCTAGGCCGCGGACGACCGGCGGCTTCCCGGTAGCCAGTCTCGGGCGATCGCGATGGCCTCGAGCGCCATTGTCTCGTCGGAAGCTCTCCCTCCGCCCGGTTCCTGCGGCCTAGGACTCCTCTCTGTCTACGGAACGGCCGCAAGTGGCTAATTGGCGGCGGGAGCGCTCGCATATTAGCGGCGCAAGCGGAGGCGGTGGCGGTGGCGTGTCGCGAGATATCACCAGTGAACGGCCCATCGAGGTATTTCTACTGTGGTAGAGCCCGCAGAGGCCCCAAAGTTTGCAAGAATTAACCGACTCGAATTGTCGCACGGAAGGAATATTGCTTTTGTTTTATACAGTTCGTATACAGATAATTAGAGACCCATCTTCTAAACTGTAAACATAAGAAACTCTTTATATAACCGTGGGCGGCAGTTTTTCCGTGTCCTTATTAATAAAAATTAGAAAAAAATCTAGTTTTATAGTCCAGATAGTTAGTTTTAAGTTAAGTTACATTAAGTTTAACACATAATGTACATAACAAAATGTTTGTTAAGCCGGCCATTTCAATAAATTAATATATCGTTTCATAACAACCAGGTAATTCGGTTGAGTTGTGTTCTTGCGAAAACACATAAAATCAACACTAGTGTACAAGTTATAAAACAGTCGCAAGTGCAATGTTTCCTTGTCAACACACATAAGCCGCCGTCAAAACACTTGTTTGTTTTGGACCCGTGCGAATTAACGTGCCAGTTCTAGGAAAAAGCTTACTGTCAATCTTTTAGATTTGCCTTACCTAATGTTACGCATAATACGATAGGAAAACAAGTCCATTTTTTATTAACGAAAGATAAAACCGACTTCAAAAATCTCGCTCTGTGTGCATTTTATAATTGATTTTCCGGAGTTCCCTAAGTATCTTCGGTGCCCAAGATTCAATACCAATGAAATTTATTATTGTTATAGTATTGTCTCTTATGTGACAGAATCAGCGGTGGTAATATAAGGTGGCTGAGACGCAAAAATTAGCGCTACACATATACATTAAGGAATCGTGTAACGACGATTCATCTTGCCGAGAGAATCGATCAGCTCCGTTGTGCGCGAAACGATGTTCAACATAAACGGATCAGGCAACTGTTGTTTACATTGGAATTCATTGATGGTTTTCCGTAGAGCGATAAATTCCTCCGGAGCGAACGCACCGGCAGTGCGGGAGGGGAGGGCGGAGACGCGCGGAGGTGCGTCTATTTCCGTGGCGTTATTTTTACCAAATTCCGTGGCGCGGAATGCTATATCTGACGCGCCTCCGTGGCCGGCTGGGTGCACCACATCGCCCCACCCCACACTACCTCACGCCACCATGCTCCTGAGGGTATGACAATACGAAACGCAATTCGGTTCGCCAGACAATAAAATGTGTCTCATACAATTGGCTAGCGTTTATAAAAGTAAAATAAAGTCTACACGTCCCATTAATCTACGCGAACCCAATATTTTTTTTTGTTATTATTATGATAATATGCTGGTTTCCTCACGGTGTTTTCCTTCATCACGTTGTTCTTGAACAGACGATTATTATGTTGTACCTGAATATCTAGAATCAATCTAGCCCCAATAATTGGAAGTGTCATTGTGTATTATGTAAACTTTTAAATTGTATGCATGTTTCCCACACGTTTGATAATGTAATTATCAAACATCCGTCGGACTAAAATAATAGTCATCAAGTTTCGTTCAACATTTTAGCCGAATGATTGTGTATGATTAGGGAAAATTATTGTTGAATAGACGATTACCAGCTTTCTTTGACCCATAGATAATTGTTCCGGATCTGGGTGTTTTGTTGTCGAGGCAACATCAGACAGGCGGCCTCTCGTAGCTTATTGATCTTTGCTTACCAATAGAAATCCCATTTCAAATAACGCCACACAAAATACAAGTCGAACGATTTCACAGTTGAAATGCGTCCGACTGCATGTAAAAACGAACGTGTCACATTTTACATACATTCGATTCAGACGCGCCCGTTTAGCGGACACACGCCAGACAATGAATAAAACAACTGGCAGATGCGCGGCAAAAAGTTCACTTCGGCAACGAACCGCGCCGCACCTCCGCTTGTCGCATACATAAAATAGTGTCGAACTACGATTATGTTCTGCAGCGGGTGACCTCATGCGCGGAGCTGGTTTCGTTTTACGGATGAGTTTCACCGGTCCGTAGGTTGATTTAATTAGCGGAAACGGCGCGGGGCTCGGGTTACCACAAGCACGCCTTTTATCGCCGACGGATGGGCCGGGGAATGCCGTTGGAAGACTTATGCCCGTTTTCACCATCGATCCCTAGCTTTAAGTAACACCAAAACGTAGAAACCACCGCTTAAGTGTTATGCTTAAAACTAGGTGACACTTAAGCGGTTGTCAACTTAGGTGTCCCTTAAAGTTAGAGGTCGATGATGAAAACGGGCATTAGGCGTTGTAACTACATTTGATACGAGTTGTTGATAATATTAAATCGCCGGTGTTAAACGAACACAATGTGTTTTCTATGAATCATTTGGATTTCCCGACTGGTCTACGCGTGAATATCGTCGTGAAGTGGAAGTGTTATACGTTTCGTCCGATGAGTGAGGTAGCCGGGGCCCACTTTACTAAAAGATGGCGATGCATCTGCAATCCTACGGGTGTTGCAAATGTCCATGGACGGTGGTTATTACTTAACTTCAGGTGAACCGTTAACTCGCTTTCCACCTTCTCACATGAAAAAAGAACCATTTTAAGCCCACGGCCCAATGCTCGGAAAATGTATAAGTATGCGCCAATTAGCCAGCGGATGCAGCCGACAAAATTCACAAGATTGCTTCCAGCTTCATAGTCATGTGCAGCACCGGCGATAAACACGTTAATTAAAAATGTAGTTTATTAGTTTCAGACATAATTTATTTACGTACTCTTTCTATTTATGAGTTATAACAAACTGTGCAGTTAATATGTTGCAGATTTAAACGGACTGAACATTTCATATTGAAAGTAAAGTAAAAAGTAATATTTTTTTTTGTTATTATTATGATAATATGCTGGTTTCCTCACGGTGTTTTCCTTCATCACGTTGTTCTTGAACAGACGATTATTATGTTGTACCTGAATATCTAGAATCAATCTAGCCCCAATAATTGGAAGTGTCATTGTGTATTATGTAACTTTTAATTGTATGCATGTTTCCCACACGTTTGATAATGTAATTATCAAAACATCCGTCGGACTAAAATAATAGTCATCAAGTTTCGTTCAACATTTTAGCTGAATGATTGTGTATGATTAGGGAAAATTATTGTTGAATAGACGATTACCAGCTTTCTTTGACCCATAGATAATTGTTCCGGATCTGGGTGTTTTGTTGTCGAGGCAACATCAGACAGGCGGCCTCTCGTAGCTTATTGATCTTTGCTTACCAACAGAAATCCCATTTCAAATAACGCCACACAAAATACAAGTCGAACGGTTTCACAGTTGAAATGCGTCCGACTGCATGTAAAAACGAACGTGTCACATTTTACATACATTCGATTCAGACGCGCCCGTTTAGCGGACACACGCCAGACAATGAATAAAACAACTGGCAGATGCGCGGCAAAAAGTTCACTTCGGCAACGAACCGCGCCGCACCTCCGCTTGTCGCATACATAAAATAGTGTCGAACTACGATTATGTTCTGCAGCAGGGTGACCTCATGCGCGGAGCTGGTTTCGTTTTACGGATGAGTTCACCGGTCCGTAGGTTGATTTAATTAGCGGAAACGGCGCGGGGCTCGGGTTACCACAAGCACGCCTTTTATCGCCGACGGATGGGCCGGGGAATGCCGTTGGAAGACTTATGCCCGTTTTTCACCATCGATCCCTAGCTTTAAGTAACACCAAAACGTAGAAACCACCGCTTAAGTGTTATGCTTAAAACTAGGTGACACTTAAGCGGTTGTCAACTTAGGTGTCCCTTAAAGTTAGAGGTCGATGATGAAAACGGGCATTAGGCATTGTAACTACATTTGATACGAGTTGTTGATAATATTAAATCGCCGGTGTTAAACGAACACAATGTGTTTTCTATGAATCATTTGGATTTCCCGACTGGTCTACGCGTGAATATCGTCGTGAAGTGGAAGTGTTATACGTTTCGTGCGATGAGTGAGGTAGCCGGGGCCCAATTTACTAAAAGATGGCGATGCATCTGCAATCCTACGGGTGTTGCAAATGTCCATTGACGGTGGTTATTACTTAACTTCAGGTGAACCGTTAACTCGCTTTCCACCTTCTCACATGAAAAAAAGAACCATTTTAAGCCCACGGCCCAATGCTCGGAAAATGTATAAGTATGCGCCAATTAGCCAGCGGATGCAGCCGACAAAATTCACAAGATTGCTTCCAGCTTCATAGTCATGTGCAGCACCGGCGATAAACACGTTCATTAAAAATGTAGTTTATTAGTTTCAGACATAATTTATTTACGTACTCTTTCTATTTATGAGTTATAACAAACTGTGCAGTTAATATGTTGCAGATTTAAACGGACTGAACATTTCATATTGAAAGTAAAGTAAAAAGTAAAGTAACAGCCTATACATGTCCCACTGCTGGGCAAAGGCCTCCTCTATACAGAGGGTATCAGGGCATAGTCCACCACGCGGCCCCACTGCGGATTGGCGGACTTCACATATTTTCGAAATATATTTTTTTTTGTTATTATTTCGAAAATATGCAGGTTTCCTCACGATGTTTTCCTTCACCGCGGAGCACGTGATAAGTCAGCACTTAAAGTTAAAAACTTCATTGGTACCGGCACCGGGGATCGAACTCAGGTTGCTCGAGTATATTGAATTAAAGGCGAGCGCCCGGACACTGAGCTATCACGGCTCATTCATTCATTCATATTGAAGTCACTTAATAATTACCATCATTATTACGATCGTATTTTAAGGTTTTTAATTTTCGATTTTAGGGTTAGAAATATCTTTTTTTATTTTTCAGAACTTTTCTATTTATATTGACCGCAGATTTGCAATTGGGAATTTTATATCGATAAATAAAAGTAGCCAACTGAGTGGGGCGGCCCTCCCTAGCGGCCGCTTTGAAGTCGCCGCGCGTTAATCGTCCAATTGTGGGCTTCCTCGCCGCCCGCTCCACTTGGTGCGTCCACGCCGAACTCGTTTCTTTGAACCTTTTCAATTCCTTAATGAAAACATCGCCGCTTCGCCACCGCCCTTTCTGTGCAATTGAATCGCATACTATTGTTTTCTGCTCCGATGTTTTATTTTGTTATAATAGCATTATATTTTTGTTTATTAATTCATAGTATGTTGTAGGAGAATGGAATGATAACACTACATCAAGCCTCATCCAACTTGCGGTAGTTAATATCGTGGCATTAGAATTAATACAAACTTCTTCAGTGCTATGGGCCGTCCCTCAACAGGTGTTAAGCACGAGGAACGAAAAACTGCGCCGTCACATTCAAGACTGACTCTTGGTATTTATATTAGGAGCGGTGGGCGTGTCTCCCCACAAGGAACACGCAACGTTCGCCATTTTCGTTAACAAAGTGCGGAAATGTAACACCTCATGCGACATTACGTAAAGTGGCGATGGTTGGATGGAGACGGGGGCGAGGGTGAAGAGGGGGGAGGGGAGGTGCGGCCCCGCTCACATCGGGGTCAATTGAGCCGGTTGCGTAAGCCCTGTCACAGTCGCCGCCATAACTTGCGGCGGCGAGAGCCCCAGATCCGACGACCACCTTTGGGTCTGGACACGCTCTTTTGAACCTTATTACTATGCCTTATGACGTATATTCGTCTTGTGCTACGGAGCTTTGCGGTCCACAGCTATGAGGGCCGCCGTAAGCGCACTGGGTCGCTGGGAAATGAACCATTTCGTGTTTCGTGGTCGCTAATCCTCATTGGTGCTAGTTGGCGGGTTTCCTTCGTCGCAGACTTTATTGGGCGCCGTACGCCATGGTTGCCAAGCGTCAATACAATTACGCCCCGAGACGTGAACTCCGCCGTGAAATGAGATCGAAGTGGTTTTGTTCAGCCGCTTAAGCATAAGCTCCTTTGTAGGACGTCATAATGACAAAAATCTCATTGAAAAATACAACCATCGCAAAGTAACGCATACGGAAATGAAAAAAAAAAATATTTGGCGGTTTTACATATCTTCTGACTGTCTGTTCCAGAGATATCGTGATGAGTCAATTATCGGTTGAATTCTCTTATATATACAATGATGTATATTAGAAGATTTTGCAGACTGGAAGGTTGAATTGTAATATGAGATTGCGGCTTTAATTCCTAGGGATTGGAAATATGTCACGTTTATAGCCTCCTTAATAAGGTAAACTCTTATTATGTTTTATATCAACTTGTAAAAGCATTCATAATACTTTACTGCGGAAGAAAGGGACGAGTGAGTCCCTCCTTGTACGTAGTGTCAAATATCTTCGCGACAAATGTAAGCGATACTTTCTACGGATCTTGTTACTTGCTGAAACTCGAGCAGCGTCCGATCGCCTCGATCGCCAACCGAGGTACTTCCTAATGCACCCGTGATTGAACGCTATTATAGGTGTATGTCCGTCTGGACGAGTGTTCGTCTGTCGCGTCGAATTAGCTGCTAAGTCTTCACTAGCATGCGGGATCCCGACTCTCATTTTGTAAATGCACACATGTCCACATGTGTGACTGCTTAGTTAGCGACTATCAAGCCTTGTGCTACCGAGCTCTGTGCCCGATGAAGCTTTATATAGTCCACGGACTCATCTATCACGATACAGACTGGACCAGTCTTCTCTAAACACACGATAATTACAAATCTGAGAAATATATGTATCACCCCAAATATCTATCAAAAAATACTCATTACATTGAATAGTTACTATTAGTACTACTTTATCGTATTTGTCAGTAGTATTGACTTGTGTCAAGTAAACGTTTTTAGCTAATGCGTAGCCAATGCATCAATGTTATGAATGGCTCGCGTGTTAAAAATAGACGCAGACGTTACAACCCATATAGGTCGTAAATGTGTCGAGATAAGCTATCACCCGATCGAGTTGATACGCGGCCGGCTGAGTCACGTCGGGTAACGGGTTCGAGGCTGGTTGCGTAACGCGTCGCACAATACGCGAGCTCTCTGAATGCCAATGAGCTGGAGCCTGTGACGGCGGAGCCATAAATGTTTTCGGAGCGTTCTGACTGCGGGAATCATTTACTCTGCCCGTTCGCTAGAGGCACGATCAATTCAATTAAATTATTTGTACTATCAATGTCGTGCATTTTATATCACATGCAAACATTACATCTGTAAGATATAATAATCTGATGTATTGGTTAGGTTATTATATCATATGAGGACAGAATAATTAATGTTCCAGACATTTATTTTGAGTTATGCATACTTCATCGACTTAAGTAACGTATTTCGGCGCAGTTAATCAATACTCTATCCTCAATGTTATAAAGGCGAAAGTTTGTATGTGTGGATGGATGTTTTTTACTCTTTCACACAAATACTACTGAATGGATTTTAATGAAACCTTACAATAATATAGCTTATACATCAGAATAAGACATAGGCTATAATTTATATACATTTTTTGTTATATTGCATCAAAAAAAATAATAACAAAAAGAACAAGACCGCAGTTTCCTGCCGGTTCTTCTCTGTGCAGATCTAGTTTAGTGAACCGGTGGTAGATTTTTTGTTGACGTTCAATAAGAGCTTAAGTTAGGCCTATATTGAATAAATATACTTTGGCTTTGACTTACTCGTATGTATATCTGTCTTTCTGTCTTAACGTTCACTTCAAGCTTATTCTATGCAGACGTAATCGGGGGCAGCAGCTAGTCTTCTATACAGAAACACGATTTCTCTTGCAAAGTATGAATCAATCAAACTTATGTAGGTATCGATATACAGTAAAGTAAAAAAGTATTTATCTATCTTATCAAAACATCTAATCGCTTGGAACACTGCAGGATTATTGAGCAGTCAATCGTAAAAGAAAATATAAGTAGTAAATAATTGTCAGCCTCTTAAAAGTCATTCGTTCGCCACATTGCACCGATTGCAACTAACCGGGCGGTTAATATAACTCCGGTCATTAAACTGGTGGTCGAGTGTTAGCGGTGAGCGCGGTTTCTGGTAAACCACCGCGATAATCCGTCCGCACGAAAACACAAGCAAATAAAATATAACAACTGCCACTTCATGACTCACTCGTCGCGATATCTCACGACTCCGTTATCTCTTAAATACACGAGCATTTATCAAAGTTTGCCGTGTGCCCCCACGACTGTGGCAGCTGTGGCGGAAAAACATCAATTTAAGTTCTGTCTCACTAAAAAGAGTTTAATTTTTCGCGTGTCATCAACTACTTGCTAAATAATTTGATCAAAGCGTTAGTTCTAATAATATCTTTACAAAATTTGTACCACGCAAAAAAATTCTATCTGCGATGCTTTTTGAGGAAAAATAAAAGTATCATCACTGCGCATTGGCTGACTTCATATGTCTTTGAAACAAATTCTTATTTTTACGAAAATATGCTGGTTTCATCACGATGTTTTTCTTCAGCGCTGAACATGTGAAAGTCAGCGAAAATCAAATTTTCAAACAGTCAAAATCATATTTTGTAATTTTTTTGGGTGCTGGCACCGGGATTTGAACTTAGGTTGCTTGAGCATAATTAATTAAAAGCGAGCGAATGTGTACTTACGAATGTGTACTTGGTGTATTTGCGTTACAAGAAAGCTATACATAATATTGACGGTTAACGTTACGTTAATGTTATATACAGCTTGGCCATTAACGTTAACATTATAAGCCATGTATAACATTAATGTTAGTTATCTCCATACATGAGATAAAGGATATAACCTGAACCTTCCTAAAATTGGAAATTTAAAAATAATAATTCATGGCATTTTAGGGATAAGAATACCTGCAAAAAAGACAAATTTCTAGCAGCTTGATCTATTTGACAATAATAAGACAACGTATTGCCAGAACATACGTTAATTGGTAAACCTCATAATCAATCACAGTTTTGAAATTCTAAGCAAAGAGAAAACTAAGAAGTCTATTGTAGAGACATAAAGCTGTTGCACAATAGCAAACAAATGGGAAGCGGATGCAATTGACAAGTTTACAAATACTAGCTCGTTCGACGCAGAAACGGCCGAAGGTCAAGTCTGTAAATCCCATTGGAACCGAACTAAGGCAACTCTGCAACAAGAAACAATTCACAAATGCATACCGAGAGCGAGCCATTGGGTTTTAATGTAATACGTAAGTAGTACATTATAACTCAATGAAGTGAGTCAAGAAAGTTTTACCTCAATGTCGGACCCCAACGATGTATTAGAATGAGTGTAGAATATTTTAAACTAAATTACATAACTGTATACCATAAAATAAACCTCGCTTAATTAGGCTTAACCTTAATATAGTTATAATTAGGTTAATAACTTTGTCCTTGATAAAGCTGTTTTTGACAGTATTCAAGGTAGAACAAAGCGTAGAAAGTTGGTGAATAGAGATAGTTTATAATCCAGCTTACTAGTACATTATGTGCGTGTGTATTAACCCTTATAATGAAAAAAAGAATGAACTCCTAATTATAAAATTCTAATTCATTTTTTACTTTATTTTTTTTCTACTTAATTCATTCATAAAAGGACTTTGGAACGTTCATCAATTTAATACCGATTTTCTTTAATTAACCCACAGATAAACTAAAGCCCTTATCGCAACTCGGGCGTTATCGAAATTGGTTACTTCCAAAATCCAACCAATTTGTGCAACGACAGAATGATATGGGTTAATTTACGAGTACGTATACATTTTGCTTGCATGCGATAAATTAATAACCGCCAGTAATTTTCACTTGCCCTTGTGATTTCGTTAATTGTTTTGACCTTAAATCTAACATTTAATAAATTCAATTGTGCTACTACCAAATCTGTGCACTCCTGCAGATCTAAAAATTTATGACGCTGCTGACTTTATTTACAGAAAGTAGGTACGTAGGGTAATTAAGATTGTATACGCTTTCAAAACAAAATTCAGTGCCTACAGCTTCAGTGGGTGATTTGCCTTCGTCTGGTGTAGCATGAAAGTTTTACAATGGGAGCTCTGTCAGAGCAACAATCTCTAATGGAATAACAAAGTGCTCCTTTGTCGCCTTCTGGCGGGTCTTGCGTGATGCCAAGTTATGCCCTCGCCCGTCGAAACGGTCTGAAAGGTCGTGCATATTTCAGTTTCTCGGTACGCGAGCGTGCGGCGTGGGGTCTACGACCTGCCCCTCGCACAATGTTACGTTTTCATTAATAGACCGTGGGTCGTTGCACGAATATTGATCGGCTCTATCGCGTCCGCCTACGTTGCTGAAATTCCATAATTTCGTTGGCGCAAACTTGGGTATACTCCGACTTAGGTTTAGCGGACAGTGATAAAGGTATTCAGGTTAATATATTTTTTATGTTAGAAGGTGGCAAGCGAACTGGCGGTTCACCTGATGTTAAGTGATAACCGTTGCCCATGTCATTTGCATCACTGGTTGCAAAAGTGTTGCCACCTTTCAATAAAGTGGGCCCGGCTACCTCACTCACGAAACGCGGAAGTATAATACTTCCACTTCACGTAATTCCGGGGAAATACCACGACCTCACCTCCTCACGTAAAAGCTGCTGTGTGGCCGTACCACAGTTAAATTTAACGTCCATTACAAGTATGAGCATGGCGGTAAAAAAAAATTCTATTAGATTCTGTTAGTGGCTTTGGTAAATTGATGGGTTGACATGTATTTCTGTTCCCATTTAAAGTGAACGTGCTTTGTTCATAGTAGGTAGCGGATTGCGTGGCGTGTTTGTTTTCATTCCCGAAGCGGGCGCGTTCTAAGTTTAGCGATGAAACGATCTCCTTGGAGTGCGTCCAGCGCCTCCTTGCTGGGCGCGATGTTTACGGTAGCCCAACTTTTCCTTTACCGATATCCAACTGATGTACGCCAGATTTTCGCGATGCTCTGTTATGAATCAGCCACTGGACTGTTTGAACGCCTCGACTGGTTGCTAACGGACATTTTAGACTAAACATCATTGTATCTGCTCACGGAATGTCGAACAGTTATTGTAACAATTTCTATTGTGTTTACTATAAATGGTTAAGAATTAAATACATGCGTGCCTTAAGAAACCATGATGCACGAAACTATGCGATGTTGAATCAGGGTAGAGAGGCTCTTCTGGTCTGTACATAAAGTGTGATAGGGCCACGCAGAAATATGTACTTTTGCACGAAATGGACGAGGTCGTCGGAAGTACCGAGATCTAATAGAAGACCGGTGAGATGTGGACGTGTTATATACTTCAGCGTTTCTGCTAGTGAGTGAGGTAATCAGAGCTCACTTTAGTAAAATGTGGCAACGTGCAAGCTGTTTATACTTCTTGGTTCCCCTAGCACTAAATACGCTTGATTCCTAAAGGGAGAGGCAGAAATTATGGATTTCTATAAGAAGGTATTATACTTCCGCGTTTCGTCTGGTGAGTCAGGTAGCCGGGGCCTACTTTTAAAGTTTGGTAAAGCGGCGGTAATCAGCTAACATCAGGTGAACCGTTTGCGCACTTACCAACTGTTCACAGAAAAAAGACAATTTTACAATAAAACCGATGTTTCGTATTTGCTTTGTTTGTTTTTGTTTTAATGCCATGAAACATTGATGCGTCACACGAATCGCCGTACCCATCGATGTGTGAAGTGAAATGGTCGCACACGTTTTGTATGTAAATAAATTGCGTTCGCTTTTCACTAACTCCGCTTTGTTCACCCAGTCCAAGCGACCTATAACATGGCATTTCCTTTTTATAAAACGGGCATCGTTAGAATACATGGAAGTGTTTATAATGAACACAGCCTTACAAAGTAATGAATACTAGTGTTCGCTTGTTTTAAGTTTGGGAAATTTCATACTCCTCTGTCCGCGCAATTTTCTTAAAAAGGGGTACAAAGTTTTTGCTTCACGTATTAATATAAAGGTTATGTGTGTAAACTTTTGGCATTCGACGATGTTATTGGATTTCAATTATGTTGATAGGTTTCATGTTTTCGCTCGCCCGTTGTTGCGAATTATGTCCACGTCACGTGTCTCCGGCGTGTCTCCGGCGGCTGCAACGTGCGGCCTCCGGGGCACCTTGTCTGACACCGTTCCGTCATTTGCACTGATGCGATTTTAATTATGTCGCCCACTCCCCACGTGTCCCGACTCGTGTCGGAAGGCAGTGGAAACATTGCCACGGCCAATTGACCTTAACAGCGTTGTATAGATAGACGTCCGAAGGAATGGAGAGTACCCCAAAGTACATCATATTGACGGCAAAGTAATTACTGACAATTTATGCAGTGTTTTGTGTAGGTACTTTTGAACAATTAGTATATTCGCGTATGCGTCGGTTTAAGAGGCAGCATTGATTTCTCCCTAATGAATATTGCTGTGATTCCACGAAGTGTGTATTACTTATTACGAAGTAATTATACTTGTTTATTAATTACGCTATCGTTACGTTTCGATATCGATCACTTAAGGTATGTCTTCAATTAATAGTTCTCGATTTCTGCTATGCAAACGATTTTGTAAATCGTTTAAGTTTAATCGTTTAATCAAACCTGCCATATAGAATTGCATCAGTTATTGGAAAGGCAGGCTTAAGCTTTGTATTTTTTTTTATGTGAGAAAGTACCAAGCAAGCTGGCGATTCAGGTTAAAGACATTTATTTATCACAAAAAGAACATTATATAGTTCACTTAAAACGTGATAAACATATAGAAGAAGTCTTAAATATATGTATGACACAAACAACAGTCTCAAAGGATAACAGAGCTTATAAATCTAAGCAAATAGTAATTTGTTTAACAGGCGTTTTTTGAACAATGGTTTTACATCCTTTAATTTCCTCAGGCAGTTTGTTGTACAGTTGCGCTCCCACAAATCGAATATTTTTTTCCTACACCAGTTCTACATGTTGGTAATTCAAGGTTATGTCTATTTCGGGTTAAATATCGACGTGATCTGTTAGGAAAATTTATAAGTGAGTGCACTGTTTTTAAAAGTATTTTTTTACAAAAAGACATGTACTGTATGTATATAATTTATCGATATTTAATATTTTTGTATTTTTGTAAATTATGTCTGTTGATGTTAGATAATGGTAGTTAAAAAGAATCTTTACTATTTTATTTTGTGTTCGCTGTAGTGTATTTAAGTTTGTCATTGCTGAACTTCTCCAAACTTGTATTAGGTATGATAAACAGCGCCCACGGACATTTGCAGATGAGTTCCGATAAAGTCTTCTAATAAAGTGGGCGCCGATTATTCACCAGACGCCGGTATTCTGTGAGGTCGTGGTACTTACCTGGACGGACCTGCCCATTCGTGCAACAGCCGAAGCTGTTGCGTGGCCGTACTTCTTTTGGTGTGTCATGTTGAATTGCGAGAGTCGTGCCCCGGCACAAGGGGATCGATGTCTGCTTCGCATTGGGTGCAGACTGCCGAGTGAGTGGCTCGCGTAGTTCTTGCGCGCGGCACGTGGGTGACGCAACCGCCCTTGGCATTATTAGCGTCGGACCCACAAAAGATGATGTCACCATTTCAGCTAGGGCTCCTACGGCTACAGAATGGACACTCTTTAACGAAACAGTAGTAGCTAGTATAATCCCGTTAGGTTGTTGTGTGCCGTAAAATGTATACTTTTTTGTTTCGAATTTTTTAAGCGGAGTTTGTTTAATTTTCTTATAAACATGAGCCGTGATAGCCCAGTGTCCGGGGCTCGCCTTTAATTCAATATACTCGAGCAACCTGAGTTCGATCCCGGGTGCCGGTACCAATGAAGTTTTTAACTTTAAGTGCTGACTTATAACGTGCTCCGCGGTGAAGGAAAACATCGTGAGGAAACCTGCATATTTTCGAAATAATAACAAAAAAAAAAAAAAAAAAAAGAAAAAAAAATATATTTCGAAGATATGTGAAGTCCGCCAATCCGCAGTGGGGCCGCGTGGTGGACTATGCCCTGATACCCTTTGTATAGAGGAGGTCTTTGCCCAGCAGTGGGACATGTATAGGCTGTTACTTTACTTTTTTTTACTTTCTTATAAACAAATGCACATTCCACAAGTGATTATCTGATTGACAAAATTCTTAAAAACAGTTTCCTGAATTATGTTTTCTTCGCATATATAAAGATAACATTTAATATTTGTACACCGGAAATGGTAGAACATAAGGGACCTTACAATTTTTAAGACCTATATTGTACCATGTTTTAACAAATAAACGTATCTCAGACATATTATGTGAATTGTTTTCTACAGACTAACGCATTTATTATTCATGACTATATAACTGATAGTGTCGACTGCTGGCTTGGTTGTAAAATAATGCAAACTTAAACACTTTAATACTAAGTAAGGAACCGCCGCCTGGTTAGGGCCTCGTCCACCTGCCGATTGCTCCCCCGCCCTACATTGCTATTGCAACGCTGCTACAGTAGTTTCCTTCAATTAACATCTGTAATTATAATCCCTTTCCAATGCGCCGTTTACTCTGAACCTTCCTCGTTGCTTTCTTGTAGCGTTTTTTGCTCTGCGTGTAGGTTAAGTTGTGTGACGAGGTCAACGGAAACACAAATTTGTCTTTTACGTTTCTAAGAATGGACAGAAAATAAATTAGGTGGCATATTTATGCGTGTTTCTCGTTTTAATCTTTATGACATTATCTTCTCTGGAACGCAAGGACGTTTCAAATGAAACTAATTAAAGTGGATATTTTATCGCGTTTATTTAAAAAGCCGTATAAATAATTGCGTTTTAAAAGTGTAGTGTTGCATAAATATTACTCACTACTTAATGCGGACCGATATACTTAAGGATTTTTAATTTGATGCATTGTATTAAATTTGAAAAATTATTGAAGAATTATAATTGTGAACCGTTTATTTTGTTGTTTTTTAAGGATAGTTTCGTAAAAAATAAAAGAGAGCGTATAGCGAGAGGCTCCACGTATTACGTTTTACAAATGTACTTATCAATATCGACATTGTAATATAATCGTGATATTGCAGATTTTATTGCAGCTGAAACGATAATATAACAGTATAAATTTGATTAGATAATATAAAGGAAGTTGATGTCATTCGTTTGCACATAATGATTATTAATCTCATTTTGCTACCTCAATTCATCGTAATGCCTAAATGGTTAGTTTTCAACTTATTACTTAGTTGAGGACATCCCAAAAAACAGTAAAGTAATAGCCTGTAAATGGCCCTCTGCTGGGTAAAGGCCTCTTCTGTACAAAGGGTATAGGGGCATAGTCCACCACGCGACCCCGCTGCTGATTGGGGTGGGGGACTTCAAATACCTTTGAAATGTTTATTTTTTTGTTATTATTTCGAAAATATGCAGGTTTCCCCACGATGTTTTCCTTCACCGTTGAGCACCTGATAAGCACAGCACTAAAAATAACAATTTCATTGATTCGGGTCCGGGAATCAATCTCAGGTTGCTCGAGTATTTGAACTAAAGAAAAATTTTGAACGAAAAGCGTGAGCCCGAACAATTAGAACTCTGTAATGTGCCTAACTCACCTTCTCGAAATTATATTTGATTACTATTAGGTGTTATAACGATGCTTTTATTTATATATGTATTATTAAGAAACGATAATGTACAAATGTAAGTGGTTGTGATGTGGTGAGCCGCTTCCCCGCGCCCCACCCGGCCATTGCCAGCCTGCATCAATACTTAATAATTCTACAAGGGGGAATAAGGTTATCGCTTGGTTCATTTTAAAAGAGGTTTTGAGTTTCATGATATATAAAACTTTGGACTTTGTATTCCGTTTCATGTTTTTATATTTTCTTATTAAGACCTTCGCGCATACAGTGTTCGTAGCAAGAAACCTTGACTCTTAATGCTTAAATATAAAGACCTTTTTATTTATATCGTCCATTACTTAAGACCACTCACTTTGTGTTTTGCGTAATGAAGGTGAACCGTTTGTGGCCTTCATTTGGCACTAATTCAAAACAAAGCACTTTCTGTCTTGTCAAGTTCATAGTTATCGGACAAAACACGCGTACACACACCAACTTACAAACACCGTTATCTGTACTTCTTTAATACTACTTCTTTAATACATAGTATAAAACAAATTCGCTCCCGATATTTTTACGCTTAGATCTTAGATCTAGAACCACGCAACGGATTTTAATGCGGTTTTCATCACTAGATAGAGTGATTCAAGCGGAAGGTTTATGTGTAGTACGTGCATGCATTTTATAGTAGAGTAAAGCCCAGAAATTCCTATCTACATTGCACCCGTGCGAAGCCGGGGAAAATCAGTCGCTAGTACATTATAAAGATATTGTAATGTTCAAAATATTTAAGGGAATTCGAATCTTTTTTCACTTACGAAAAGTTGTGCCATTTTCATTTGTTATGGTTTCTAAACTTTTTTGGCTTTTCTAACAGTTAGTCTATTTAAGTGGAAAGCGATAGCTCGGTAGACCTATTCATCATTGCCGTGAACACACATCGCAATCGGAAGGAACAATCGAAATGATTCTGCCAAATTGCTGATTAGTACGCCATACGCGGGATAACTCAGGTGGCGTTCGGTACAAGCATTTGTAGATCCAACATATAACTGATGACTCTATGGTACCGTTTTTAAGCTACTGGCTTCGGTGTGAATGGTCACACGGCACAAGTATTTGTGTGACCCATAGATAATTATTCCGGATCTTGGTGACTGTTTCCCAAAGAGGGTCGACGTCAAATAGGCGGCCGGTCGTAAAAGACAGTTATGTTGTAAGCGGTTTTGGCTAAAACCGCTTACAAAATGATTCACATGTTGTGCCGTATTCATGTCTAGGTGGGATAAGGGCAGGAGGATGATAATGAACATATAACTGTCTCTTATAATTATTGCAATAGTGCAGGTAACGTGTTCACAAGAAGACATCTGTCCAAAGCTTTGTGGTAAATAAAGCATCGTTGGTAAATAATATGGACGCGGTTCGACATGCTTTCCCGTTCAATAATTGGCAGACCGTTTCATCAGTATCATCGCGGTCGCGGCCGATTAGTCTCGTTCTGTGACTCAAAACGTTTAATATCTCCAAATAATCCACCATTAGTTGTTCTTTATGGATTGCTTTCGGCAATTTTTTTTTCTCTTTCATCTTGAACTCAGGCCGTGTTCGATTCATTCGTTATGGTTCCGATACGGTCTACATTGTTGTGATTACTTTCCTATTGCAAAGCAATCATAGCTGAATATCATTACTAGGTATTGTTCTATAAGCAAAGATGTGTTATATATTTTTTTCTGTGTACACGTCATCATTATAAAATTAGTGACGATGCGCCTGAATGTCTCCTGTATGTTTGTGTGCTCTACTCTTGCCTTTGCATATTGAATTCTTGTATATATATAATCGGAATCTCGGAAACGGCGCCAGCGATTTTCATGAAATTTAGTATGTGCGTAGATTCGGGGGCGAAAAATCGATATAGCTAGGTTTCATTTTTAGAAAATGTCCTTTTATCCCTGTTTTCAGGGAATGAAAAATATCATTCGAATATGACGGTAAATTTCGCCACAAAAAAAATGTTATAATAGCTCGGTCGGTAATCGGACGGCCCCAAAACAGACGGCCGTGGTTCGTATCACGATCATTTACACACTTATTTTTTTACTTTTTTTCGATTCCAGATTATTGCTTTCTTTAATTTTAATTTTTTGTCAATTTGTTATTTTGTTATTTTTTTCCCTTTTTTTTTAAAGTTCTTTCTTTTGTGAAAAACATCAGTTCATATTTTCTTTTTATTACGTCGGTAAGATCGAAACATATTATGCATATTTCATTACTTAGTAATTTGTATCTAAATGTAATTTCTAAAATACACGATTTACCAAAAAAAAAAAAACAAACCGAGCAAAGCTCGGTCCTCCGGGTACTTGTGAATAATTATGGTGACGCGGGAACGATATTTTTTGTGAAATAAAAAAAATAAAGACGTGGGTTCGTCTAACAATTGAGAGCGTTGTCCGGTGATGGGTTTATCGCGTGTTACGTTAAAAAAGTGTCTGGATGTAGTCGGCGCTGATTACAAAGCTGGCTTCCACATCGTAATTACGCTTTGTTCGTCAGGGAATGAAGACGTTAAGCGAGAACTGTTTTGTACAAGATGTGCACATGTGAACATGCGCCAGTCCATGTGAAATGTGCCGATGCGCTCGGCTTCTATTCGTCTATTCGCGCCGGAATGTCATTAGATCTGGTCTAAGTAAGATGTACCATATATTCACCTTACTCCATCACGTGGCATAACCTTGGGACGTCGACATTTACTGTTTGCACTATAAGCCTATCTGATTTAGGATAACGCGATACAATATTACTGAAATTTGTATATTTAATAGATTCTTAAGATTAGTACATTTTCTAGTGTACTGTATAAAATAAATTTGTGAGCCCTCGGGTGTTGCAGGTGCTTACCATCAGGTGAGTCTCCTGCTCGTTTGCCCCTTTTCTCCATAAAAAAAAATATATTTTGGCGCGGTTCCCACGATATGTCAGGTCCATCGAAGCATACATAACACCGTTTCCCCAACCGTCCATTCCCACCACGAATATTTTATGTCGTTTAATTTTAATTACAACGGAAAGTGTAATGCTTCCGGTTGGCAGATTAATTAAAAACACTACTTTGGTTCGATGTACTCTCCGCAACGAGTACTTATGTCTTATTCGCGTAAATAAATTAGGACCTAGTGATGAATGCAAAAACTGTCATTACGGAGTCGGTCCTCACTGAACTGGCTCTACTTTATAGCTTCGCCATAGCTGTCGGAGTTTTGGCCAAGTGCAGAGGGGCTATTATCCCTTACAAGGAGTTATGTGGAGTTTGCAAGCGCTCCTCAATGTGTCGTAAACACGGCGGCGGCGTCTCATCAAAGGAAACGAGGCGATAGGTGCTACTTTTGATTAACCGGTGTAATGAGCGAATGCATACCACTAGTAGGTACTGGTCATCCACATCTAGACGAAACTGCTTCGAAATCGATGAGAGATCAAAGCTGACAAGGAATTAAAGTAATTTGAGATTGATTTAATAAAAATAAATAGGTAGTAATGACACGAAAAAGAAAGCTGAGAAGAAAACAATTATTTGCGATCTTATAATCACCGATGAGTGATTAGGTGCACATTTATGCTCTGAATACAAACACATCGAGGTCTAAACTCTTGCCCCATTTCGTTAATGCATGCTTGGTGGACATGGCGAGGCGGTATGAACAAAGCGTGCAGTGTGGCGACTGATTGCCCATTAGCCTACATCGCTGGTGGCTCGCCCACGCCGCGTCTCACCTCGAAGGCTGACACAAGGCGTCGTCGTGTCAGGGGAGCTATTCGCATAGGCCAGAGGGCATGTCGTCACAGATGCAATGTTTGACGTCTTTGTGTCGAGTATATTCATTCAATCGGAAAAGCAGTAAGTGATGTAACGAAGAGCTTAGACCACTCTCGCATTTTTTTTGTATTAGAGGTCAATTTTTATATAGGCGGCACCGCTTCTCTCGACCGACTTTTACTGGAATACCACAAGGCAGCCTTCCACCTGGTTTGATTTATTTCAAACGGCGCTGGTAGCAAACAAGCAAGCAGTGACTTCACCTGATGTTAAGTGATTACCGCCGCTCATGGTCATCTATTAAATCTGCATGCCACGGATATGTTGCCAAGCTTTAATAAAAGCGGAACTCTTTTTTATTAGCACCCTACCATTATACGCCGGTCTTGAGGTCTCAGTAGGTACTTCCCCTGACGGATCAGCCGACTAGTGCAGAGGAATCTGCTGTGCTCCCACAACGTGGACAGATTCCGTAGAAATGACAAAATAATTTTTTCTCTTTTTTACCAGATAGCTCTTACTTTAAGTAATCTTTTAGTGCACAAAAATCATACGGTCACTGCATTTGAGGTTCTTGTAATGGCTCGCCGTCTTTTTTCGAAGCCTCAATAGCGCTGTTACGAAACGGATTGCTCAATTAAACAATTAAGCCGCTCAGCGTGGCGTGGACGGTATGGCATACCCGGCCCATTGTTCCTCGGATCACCTCGCCCTTGTCCTCTCCGATATTCGTGTCCCGTTGGCAATGCAATCCTTCGCGCTTCTCTCTCTCTAGATCAGTCTCCGTCGACATGAAGGAGCGTTGATTTGAGATTTGCATATCGTAATTTGCATATCGATATATTTCTTTTTTGTGTCAACAAGTTTCTAATAGCAAAGCGCATGATAAACTCGATGCTCCAGCGTTAAGCCTCTAAGCTCTTGTTGCGCAATGAAGTATTCATGAAGAATTTAGATATGTTATGCGCACTTTTTTATAAAGTCCATCTTCGCGCTGTTTACTAATTACTTGACTAATAAAACTTTGGCGCTGATTAATCAGAACAACCCTTTTCAAAAAACCTAATTATAATACGATAATTTGACATGATTTAATTTTCTTAGTACTTAATTATTATTTAATAAATTGGCGCTCCTTTTTAACATTACATTTAACAAAACGGTGACAAAAATTTTGTAGACAATGTCTCTTGATTTAGTTGTCCATTGTCCTCGCAAACAGTGTTATCCACGCGCTATTACGCGACAATGGCGCGCCGAAATGTTCCAGCCGAGCGTATAATGATGACATTAGGGGACACCACTCCCACGGCCGCCTGAGATACGCACGGGCTCGTATCTCTCTGTTTGGAGTGTATTGGACTGATCGGCAATTTGCGAAGAGAGCCCGGATGGTGGAATGAATAGAATCTCCGTTGATGTCTGCAATACATCGCACTTTTCTTTTTTCCCCCGGAGAGAAGTGTCAGCTTCAATAATTAACGTCATCACTAAGTTATTATTCTTTACTTGTAACAATCACTCCCGTTATGACCGCAATAGTTAATCACGGTACTTACACGTGGAAGTAAATCCATATTTATTTAAGTTTTTTTTTCAACCGCATCGTCATCCAATTTAATGCTGCTTGTCATTTAAAGCTAGCGTATAAACGAAATAAGAGTTTTTCTTTCTCCCTCGAGGTCGCCCGCATCATCAACTCTGCAGGTTAAGGTCAATAGTCCCTGTAATCCTAGGGAGAGTCGGCTCTTTGCACAAGCTATACAGCAAATTATAGGTAACTGTCTGGTGTTTATCCCATTTACTCTTTGCAGTTATGTTATGTTGAAATCAACAAAAAACAAATTGAATTACAAGTAATTCATTATAAACAAATTGCCCTGCCTGCTGTATGTCCATAGTGTTTTGTTCTTGAAATTGTCTTGAATTTTTTATCACTTTCCTATAGCAATAAATTCATCGACTTCAGTTTTATGTGTTTAACAGTAAAAATAAGTAATTTATTGCAAATGTTATCAGTAACGATTTTGCACGGGCACGCGGTCGACGAACCCATTTTCTAGGTAACTTTCGTAGTTTTAAAAGGCGTGCGAAGTTTTCTTATGCGTTTAATTTATTATTGCGTGAAATTCTGATAACTTCAGCATAGCATATTATATTCTACTAAAGATATACAATGACCAGAAGGCTTTTAACTGTTTACCGATTTAATATACATAATAGCGTTTTCATGGTTTTAACACATAAAGAATGAAATAATTGTTTGAAATGACCTCTTTTCATTTTAATGACACCTGGCCCACTTTATAATATGTGTACCATGTAATGTAATGTACATGTTAAATCAATTATATTTTTGAACAACAGCTGTTCTACTTTATCTCTAATATAGTATATATACGAAAGTAATGTGTAAGAAAGTAATTATTAACTATTTATATGTACTTCTTCACAAGCAATAAAAGACAAAGGAATATTCATTACTGAAAGGAAATAGCTATAAAGCTGATCAAATAGTAAAGCTAGTGAAAGTGGAGCAGGCGGAAGCATCCATAATAACATCCATAATCGTTCCAAGCATTCATAATAACTAGGCTCGTTCGGTTGGTCAATAAAAATCTTAACTACGGCCCAACCTGTTCGATTCCTTTTATTACGTTTTATTAAATCAGAACGAAAAGTAGAGTTCGACCTCGCAGTTATGTTATATCGCGATGACTCAAGGTCGTAGCGGTAAAATGGAATAAAAATTGTTATTATTTTTTGCTCTTGTATAAACTTGGATTGGTTTTTGTTTTATCAATTAATTAATTAGCGCGTTAATATTTTTATACTTATTATTTTAATTTCGAGCGCAAACTGCATAACTTTCAAAGTTTTGGAGGTTCAAGGTTCCTGGTACCTGGCTGCGAGGTCACAGAGGTGTTGTGTATGGTGATTGTACTAAGCATAAGAATTAATATAATTGAGAAGTAGTTTTCAATTCGGATTTGAGAAGCAGACACAGCAAAAAGAAGAGTAATAAGGAAGTAGGTATCTATGTAGGTGTTCATCGGGTTAAGTACCTGTGGCTCAGTTGATTTGTGTTCCGCATAACTCCGGTAACACTTTTGGTGTTAGTGATCACTTAGTGTTTCACTTATGGTCACTTACCATCAGACGAACGAGTCGCACCACATGTACGAAACTCGTCGCACGCCCAAGTGGCCGGCGCCGCTCCGCTGACCGCACGCGATGTTGATCTTGATTCGTTTCCACGGTTACCTCACTTCCGGCGCGTGATGACGCAACCGATGCAGTGGCTAATTTTAGCCGGGGCCTCTGTTACGCCGCTTCATAACGGGCACAATGCTTGTCGCGTTACTGTTTGTATGGTTACGAGTATGAGATCGGTAAATGTCAAAATTATTGCGTCAAATTGTTTCACCGTTATGAGGGATTTTGTTGTTTTGATGTTTGTGGTTTTTTTAATGCTTTTTTAATAGTTACAATTTTTCTTTTTCAGCTACGCAATTGTTATCCCTCCTCAAATACATTAATGATCCTTATGTAATGCTTTTTGCGTTTTGATGATTGTTGTTTGATGCGATTTCATTTTGTACCCTGTTATACAGCTTCATCGGGCACATAGTTGAGCGAAGTGCTGTGTTTCTATGAGTTTGATGGACCATGCCTAAGCAGAGTGTTGTGTTGTGTGATTTAACGTTATGTGTGTATAGTGTTGTCTGCCGAAACTCCCGTTGGGTCCGGAATAATCTTAATACGCCTTCATCGAAGCAGTGAACAAAGGGCACTCCCTTTGTACTCCACTCCAACCTTCATCAGGTTTTACGCTTGTGACGTTTGTAAACGCTCGCGTTAGGGACTTGTTGATATTATGATATATGACCACCAGAAGAAAGGGATGATTTCGGCTCTTTCGAAGAACTGTGTCGTTATATCTCGAAAGTGAACGGCCCTGCAAATAATAAAGTCGAGCACCTAGAGGTCGGGATCACTTTCTGCATTCCCAAAATTGGAGACCCGTAGCCGACAACCCCATCAAATACCGTTGCACAAATATCGCCACGTATGACTGTATTAATGTAGGCTCCATCTAACTAAAGGAAATTTCGCATTCTTAAGCCTTTCGCCGGGTTCGGTTTACGATTAGATGAAGCTTTGTAATCTCCGGCGTGAAAGCACAACTTCCGTTAATACAAGATACACGAACCGAGGCATATCACTTAACCTCGGTCTATTCCACAGTATAAATTTTTCGCAATTTATTTATATGCAATGTTTATGCAAATGCCCAAAATAACCGCTCTGAATATGAGAGCTTTATTTTAACTTTGCATTTGCGTCGATAATCGCCCACCAGCTGTTCGCTTGATATATTTCTGAATGGCCTACTCCTCGATGACGTCAGTGACCATTCTGTTACGTCATAGCAGCGAAGCGGACGGCCCGTTAATACGGTATAAGCCGTCGGACCATTCACCGCCTTCATTAACGATCGAGGCCTAGCGGCTGCCCTATTCAATATGGGTGCGTTTTATGTCATAGGCCCTCGAGCGTAACGCGTCCATCGTGCGTATTAAAGTCGAAACTATAGTCTGTTACAGTAGCAGACTTAATAAGTGTTTTTCTGTACTTTATCGTTTCAACTAAACGTAACATATTTATTTATTGTCCACAGGTAAGGAGCTGATATTGACGTCTGATTTTACGTGAATGTACAACGCTCCAGGTGGTATGTTTATGATTTTGTCGCTGTATTTTTTGTCTAAGACAGCGTCACTTTTCTCCCCAGTCTCTGATTCTCATTGAATTTAAACCGATGGAAACGTTCACTTGTAGATCGTTTTAATTAGCAAGCAATTTGTTTAACACGTCGGTTATAAAGATGTAGGCAGTGATAAAGTGCACCTACTATCCGTTCGCCAACGGGCGCGCAGCGCGGAGAAATATCGTGATTGGAAAGTGTTCGGGCGCTTTAGAATCCCCCGTTCTCGGTGTAATCGATGCTCTAATAGCGCTCCCCGAGCGATGTCTACTTGCGTCCAGCGCAGCCAATTACCGCTCTCAATATTCGCGCTGTCAGCCTGATGGATGCTGCATGATGCATCCGACGCCGAAGAAAGCCGAAGAAAGCGACGTGCATCCATCAGTCGTTCGCCGGCACCTGTCCACCGCTTGGTCGGAGCTTTTTCTCTGCCTTTAATTTCGCTCTAATGACACGTATAAGATCACTATAATTATAGTCGTTATCGCGTAACTTTGATTTGCCGCACCAACGTCATGTACATACTTTTGTTACATCGTAACTTTGTTCTACGCTTCGCACCGTTTCCATTTAATAGTCGTAAAACTATTATGGGGCGACGCTGATGCGATTCTTGTTTTCGCGATGGTTGTGGGCCGTAAAACTTTTATTTACTCCGGGTCCACATTGGTGATTTGGCGAAATCGCTGTTGAACCGCGCCCGAAACTGTTGTCCATTTATATTTTGTAATTAGAAGTGGGAAATTCACCCAACAGCCTCTACTGGCAACGATACTCACTTAGTACGAGATGGGCCGACTGATGCACACCAACCTTTGTATAGGTACGGACAGACGAATGAACCATTTTCACTCGTAAAAGTGGCAGTTCTAATTAAAACGCCACGCCGCGCCATCGTGGCACGGCGTGCTCAATTATTGTAATGAGATCGCGAGCTGAATGGAGGAGCGCACAGGGGTTTCCACAAATAGGCATTTCGCTCTAGATTCATTAATACCCAGGGTGTTTGTTTACAATAACTGGAAACGAAGACGGAGTGATCAATAATTAGTAAAGTATAAGAATGTATTGATCATTTTAATGTACAGCTTTTCGTGGAATAAAAACTGAAGGTTAGACTTAGGTGGTAACTTTGCTAAGTAATGCGCGCTTGTCGAGGGTTCGATCCCCACATGCGGCATCATTGTCGAAATTTTCCCGCTGTGAGATATCGGCCGCTTGGTTTAGTTGATTAAGTATCTGGGCGGAAGACACAGGTTCGAAGCCTGCGGGCTTATTGCGCCAATATTTAACGATAATTTTTCGAAAAAACGTCACATGTTCATGTTTCTTTACTTTGATCACCTGTTATTCTCCGGAGGACAAGATGTTTATGTATTGGAGCTTATATGTATTTAATAATTATTTTTAAAGTATTTATGTTTTTGTAAAGTATATTGCTATAGAATGTAGCCTTGTTTTTTTTTTGTTTTCTTTTATTTATTTTTCTTTAATTTATTTCGCGTATTTTGTTTTGCACCTGCGTCAAACTGTCTCTACTCCCAGGGTTGACTGGAAGAGAATGCTTATTAGCATTAAGTTTGCCTTTTGTTTAGCTTTAAGTTCAGGTGTAAACAATAAATTTTTGAATAAATAAATGTTTTTTGTGATGATATGAAGTTAATTTTAATGCTCGTTATTTTATACTTATAAGTGTAACAAATTAAATTACTTATAATGCATTCAGTCTAATTTGTAATTCTTTTTCTAGACAAGGAATACATTTAGGAATTTTAACCTTTTTATTCACACTATCTTGATGGATTGTTAGCTCTTTTGAATCTTAAATGTTTGCGTCAATACGAGTATATTCATTAAAATAATTTAATTTTGAAAACGTTTCGTATTTAAACAATCAGTCGCAAAACAAGAAATGGCCAATCAATTTACAAGTTCCTACAACAAAACAGCAAATCTGTTAAAAAAACGTGTTAAAATGTTGACATTTCTAATGAAAGAACTTTCTCGATTCGTTTAGACGTCGGCCAAACATTCAGTGATAGATGATGACAGATATAAAGTCAATTAAGCTCTATATACTTTATAGATTACAAGATCACGAATCAAAAATTTTCTAAAACTGTTTTATTATTCTACGTTGTATACACATTAATAATTCGCATGTATAATATAATATTTAAGTTAGAGTACGATCATAATCTAGCCGGCGCAGTATTACACCTCAAAATTCACACATATGTTAAGTTACTTGTAGTGTTTACGTATGAAATGGAGTAACAACCTCTCATTGCCGCTTGTTTTACGAACAATGCCGCATTTCTCTCACGGAACTGGAAGGGGCCGTGAACTAGTCGCCTCGTGCCTGAGAATAATTACGCGAATTCCGGCATCACTACCTTGTACTCACGTACCCATAATCTTTTGTTAGTTCGTTTTCAAACGAATCTTACGCACGTTTGTCTCGAAGTCTTTTATTTTATTTTAAATACATATACATGAGCGGGTGCTTCACCGAAAAGGATGTGAGAACAGTCTTCTAGTGATAACACTGGCGTTGGTGAAGCACAGAGCCGACCGCTGATAGTAAGCTTTTTCACGTTATATCACGCCGTTTCATTCTTCTTCTTGCTAGCTCTTCTAACATTTCCAAGTCGATCTGTTACGCGGCACACGGCTTTACTATCTCCTACAGTATACATTTCCTATGTTTCCTGGTGTATCTTAATCATGACAATGACATTCAAATGAGACATTGAAAATATCCCACTTTCAACGAAAGAAAAAATTCCATATAAAAGACATACAACCGAATTGAGAACGTCCTTTTTGAAGTCTGTTAAAAAGTTGAGGGACTTCTGCACTATAGGAGATGCTAAAATAATTGTTTTTGCGCCAAATTGTGTAATATTGCGAGCAGCAGACTGCATCTATTGTTATGATAGTGACATGCAGGTAACAGACTGGATGTGCCGTTTGCAAAAAACGTTTACACACCAGACGAGTTATAAGTCCCGCGCCGAATGCCGAGAGTCACTGGCAATTACCGGCGTGAGATATGACTCCCCCGCAGGTGCGTAATGTGCCATTTGCATGTCAATGTGTTAAATGAGCTCGCATCCAAGCTAACGAGAGCCCACGCGTCTGAGGGGGCCGCGTCGTTGGGCGAGGTCGCACGTTACTTGGTGGTTTGTCGATTGAGAGTTATTTGCCATTCTACGTCCAAACACCCGAAAGAAACCTCACAAACACCATTTTAATTTGATTCTGTTACCCTTAATTAATCCACCATTATTGAGCTAATAATGGTGGATTAATTAAGTAGTTAACTACTTTTTTTACACTCGAAGAGCGCGATGCTTACAGCTGCTTTTTTTCTGGCTTGCTTCCATCATCAACATAATTCTTTTTCGGAGGTCATGGAATTGGGAAAACGACCAACCCATAAACGGCATAAGTATATTCATGTAATTGTGTGTGCTTCGTGGGAACATAATGTGTGTAGTCTGGCGCCTCACGCAGTCCTCAATTCGTTGCAATTGCCCTAATAGACGATTGACTTCTCGTCGCCTCCGCACCTATAATTGACTCCGCGCCTCCTCTCCACTGATTTCCAAATTGATTGAACGGCAATCCGTTGTTGACACAATCCCCCGCGGAGCGATGCCACGGCTACGTCTACGTCGGTCGAACAAATAAAATATGAAATTTCCGTCTATTATAGAAGAAAATCTAGCTGTTTCTTGTTAGAAAAGAAAAATAATTTTTTAACTAAACTACACTTAAATTCTTTTATAAATCTACTCTGTCGTTCTGCTGCTAAACACGTTGAACCTCTACTATAATTTTATTGATCGCTATTGTCATATTTTTGAAAAGGATGATTCGAAAGAGGAAAGCTGCCAGCGGAGATTCTAAACTTAATTGCATCTGTCAGTCATTTCGGATCTCGGGCCAACTGTACGCGTTGTTAGAGACTCTCGTTATCCGAACGAGTGAGAGGCAGATTGCGTATTGTAATGTGCAACGGTCGGCTATTGTGTCGATGTTGTTCCGTTCGCGCCGATGTACAGAATCCGAAGGAACACCTGTAATTGGACTAGCAGACATTTATAATTAAGCGATTATTTTAGTGACACAGCATCGGGAAACGCTCTTGCGGTTCGTGTCCAATTTCGCATCCCCCTTTGCTAGCTTCGTTTTGTGATCATACTTCTACCGTGTTTATCCTCCTTGATGGTAGAAGCTAATTAACTGCAGTACTACCTTACTTTTCACTGTCTAGTCGCACATGCGTGTAGCATTAGAAAAACCTTATCGGTCAAAGGGCAAAGCAATAGCATCGCTGGGTAGCTCAAAACTAAACAGTGGCTTTGGGGCCGCATTATTATTCATGCGACGTCGAAGACTAGTAAGAAAGGTAGTAAAATTGGCATGAAGTGCAGATGTGCCTTCTGTGCGCGGTAACATTTTGGTTATCGATTGGATCGATGAGACGTTAGTCGTCGGTCGGCCAATGGCCGCATTTTAGGCAGTGAACTCGTTTGTTCAATTCTTGAACCTTTGAAATGTGTCTGAATAAAAATAATAAAAATTTAAACATACAACAACTAGTCCCTCCCGTGATCAAACGTCGGGAATGTAAAATGAAAATAATACACAATAAATCCGTCAAATAGTTTCATAATTTTTTTAGGATCGTATTTTTTAGATTTTTAAATTTTAAGCATTAAAGTTGCATTGGTCACACTCCCACTCAGTCCCACGAATGCGCAGGTCCATCCGACACGACTTCACGGGCCAACTTTGTTAATGGTGGCAACGCATCTACAACCTCACAGGTGTTGCAGATGCGTTGTGAGGTGTACCGCCAGCTCACTTGCCATCTTCTAATATTAAAAAAAATAAATAATATGCAAGTTTGAGAAAATGTAAAAAAAATTAATAACATTAATACCTTATTATTAACTGATAATAAACTATTGAAGCATTTAATACTTATATATATCGGCAGTCCGATAAATAATCCAAAATTAACTTTTTACCGATCACATTACTGCTGCGTCATGAATGCTAAATGATGATAGAAAGGACCTCTAAATTATGTTACAAATTGAATGTACAATGGCTCATTTGAGTCAAATTGTAGTTGAATTTGACACTTCTGCTCTACACGATGATTAGTACTTCATTTTAGATCGTATTCGTGACCAACTCTGACACTTATAACGCGTTTTTTGTGACCGAGAGGAGAATATCATCGCAAATTACGACGCGGTCTCGGGCCATTTGAATCTGTCAGTTTTTTTTTATTAACAAGAGATTTTTGAATCGCGTGATTCAATCAATTTGGTAGTGGGGCGGCGTAATAACCGTTTCGGCCGAAATCGCAACGAGTAGATCAGATTGTATGCAAGAAACATTGCGAGATCAGTCGCTCGAAGGGCAGAGATTGGCGTGCGCCGAACTAAATGCAGCGAGAGTGGAGTGGAGTGAGGTGAAAGTTGCCCGCAACTAACTGCCGATTTGCACGAGTTGGAAGCAAAAGCTCGTTAATTGTCCGCTCGGTTTGATGGACGCCTCACGCGCCGGCCTCTCACCTTCGAGTGGCAATGTGCAGGTGTCGATAGCTTGCCCTGCCGTCGTTAGCGAAGATAAGTTGGAGGGCTATCTGGACCATCTATCTAATGCAGTATAGTTATTTTACATACCACATAGGACAAACTTAATTCATATTTGCATTAAGTTTGCCCCGTGTCGCTTTCAATAGATTTAAGACAGATAACCCTGATAATGCCTGCCTGTCCCGTCTTTATCAATCCGTTTTTTAACTTTTATAATAATTGTTGGCTATTTGGCTGCAGATATCGATTTAGTCTTCTTAATTGTGGGTCAATTTTTTAACGCTTTTTTAGATTTCTAATGTAAAACATCCCTCTCTCACAATATTGTCTCGAGTATCGCGACAAGGTTCAGCGCCTGTCATGTATGATTGCCATGTCCATTAGGGTCCATCCAGTTAGGGTTCAAAAGACATGAGAGCATTTTTTTGGAAAAGTGCAATGGCCAATAACTGTTTTTTTCTGAATCGACTGCCTACTTACTCAACTTAAACCAAATTCAGTGATCATAAAAACGAATATTTCAACGCCAACTTTTGTAATACACTTTATTTATTTACGCCTGAAACTTGTATTACTAAAGTGCAGAGTACCTAGAGATAACAAATCGTAGAGGCTGAAGCCATATATGGGTTAGTTAAGAAATCATTCAAATTATTACACGAGAAAGTGTCTTTCTTCTCCATAAATGCAACCGATACGGTATAAGATCGAATGCTTTCAATTGTATGCTTTCTTGGTATTAATAACAACCGGTTGGGTTTCGGTCTGGTCGCTTGTTTCCCTTGTATTCGCTTAATTTGATTATTTTTACCCCATTTTTAAAAACTTTGGATTACATATCGTAAACATGATTTTGAACTGAATTTTGTGTTCGTTTGTACAATTTTTCATGAACCATTTTGATTTATTCATTCAAAGAAAATTAAATATCCATATTTGTCTAATCCAAAAGAATATTTTTTATCAAAATTGTTTTCTTAATGTCATTGCAGTCAATTTGTCCTTATTTTAAATTATTGCATGTTTGGGATAAGTTTTTCATTATACTTACACTCACTTTTATAACATTTATAAGAAAACTCTTTATAAGAAATTATAGAATTTCTTGTATTTTCTGTTTTCCGTATCGTTTGTTTATTGTCTGTTGTTAATTGTATTGCATTAAGTCCTTACACATGTGTCCAATTATTTGTGTCATTTTTGTAAGCTATTATTTTTTTAATTGCACAATTTGCTAGTCTTTCATTTGAATTTAACTTAAAGACATAGCATCTAAACGTAAAACAGCTCTTGCTTAGTATGTGAAGTTTTCCCTAAAATGTTTGAATGGTACTCGCGTAGTGTGACGCCAAGTCATTCACTCCTCTTTTCTACAGACAAAACATCCAATACGCGTGAACAAATAGGTTCGCTTTGTTATTAAATGAAAGCATTGTGTTGTATTTAATTCCCCGCTGCGAATTGACGGTACGCCGCCTCGCCGCTTCATCTGGCCGTGTTCCCATTAACAATAATCTCTCGATACGCGAAGATCGATATCTTTTGTTCGGTTAATTGACGTGCATCATTATGCTAATCGAATTGGTTAGGGGCCACATTGTTCTGCCGCGCGGCTCCTTCCGGCCACTTTCTCGGCCCGTGCGCGTTTTCTCTCGCTTACAGGTTTTAAATCATTCCCTAGATCTTGCAGGTTGCGATTACGCTGCGAGATAATTAAAAAGTAAACCCGTGTTGTATTCGCTGGCACCGGCGCGACTCCGATGTCTCGTTGATCGTAAGGTCTTTGTCCGCATTCTGTGTCATTCAATAAAATGTTTTTGTGTCGTATGATCATATTGTTCATTTGCTTCTATTTGTTCCTATTTAAATGACGTTGATCATTCAAATATTCCTCATTGTTTTTTACCGAACTTTAAAATAAGAGTTTACCGTGAATTTTCTATGAAATTAAAGAGAAAACTATGTCTTTGGGTGCTAACGAAACTTCATTCCACATTTCATTAAAGATACATAGAATTTGGAATAAAACTCAGTTAAACTGAAAGCAGCACGAGGCCTCGGGGATACATTGTAATCAGGAGCCTGGCCCCAATATTGGTCCCTGGAGAACGTTGCTAGTTCGCCTAAATTACGTTCAGTATTAATTTGTTTTTTATTATTTAATGACAAACAACGCTTCGTCATCTGTTTACCCGACGCCGAAGCCAATACCTTGGCAGCTGCGCCACGGAGTCATCAAAACTTTTTAGACAGATTCACATATATGGCATATAATGTAAATCTGAACCGTTTTTACGCCGCGCAGTATGGACATGCGTCATCTTTATTAAAACATCACAAAGAGACAGACATCTGTTCGACTTGGGCGCTTTTTGCTCCCAACTCCTCTAGTGAGCCGTCCGTGATTAGAGCACAGGCGAGTTTTTGCGTTCCACCTGCTCTTAACCGCTTTTTCGGACCTCCTCCTAGTCCTCTTCCTGCGGCTCCTTTCTCACGTATTACATTGCACGCCGATTCACGGCAATACCTAAAGCGATTGGCTGTGGTTCCAATTGAACGGCCGATGCTGACAAAATAGAATCAAATGAACGAGGTTCTCGTGACGGTGTTTGTTTAGTTTCCGAGAAACGTTTTCACTGTTTATTTTTGTTTTGTTGTTTCATTGAGATTTGATGGTATCTTAGAGATCACGTTCCGAGCAGGCTGACGTCATTCCACCGATAAATAAGTCATGTATTGCACAAATAAAGAAAACGGGAACTTAAAATAAATATTTATCCTCTAACAATCTTCGTCGCTTTTTGCAACAACGACATTGGGGGCTTGATTAAACTACGTGATTATAATGAAACCTCGTTCAACTAACGCTCTCTACTCGTAACGAGTCGACTTAGGCGTGGCAGTGGCCGGGAAGTTTCCTCGGGGAATTAGGGGGGAGGGGTGTTATATTGCACATATATTACAGAACACGCCAATGGAACAAACTTCGCCTCGCACCCGAAGAGCACTGAAACCCAATTATCCTTTAAACCTAGAGCAATTTGCTGCGTAATTTCAAGCAAATTGACTGTGGCAGTTTGCTATCGGATCTAGTACGAGTACATTTAGAATCATGTATCTGTATCTCCCTTTAATATATCGATGTATAAAACTAATGATACGGTTAACACGGCTTTTAATTGAATACTTGTGAGGTTAAATTTAAACAATTGCCGAAAATAAAAAGGAAAATTGCTAATATCTGAAACATCTATTTGAACGGTGTGCAAGGAAAGATCACTTCTAGGTCGTTTTCAAACTCGCAGTATTAAATTTTAAACTTTTTAATGCTTATCTTTGCTCTTAAGAGAAAACATTAAAGCTTTTAGAAAAAGTGGACGAACTGCTTCTCGCCGCTGCGGGAATCGAACCCTCGTGTACCGGATTCGAGCCCAGACGTTTCAACCACTAAGCTAAACGGCTGATTGCCACACCGAATTCTCAACGTCCACAAACTTTAATCGTACAGTACAATTTATAATTATGACCAACTTGTAATCGAACTGTATCATCCAAAATCGTTTGCGATTTCCTATTTGCGGATCGCAGCCGGGGCACGTGAACATTAAGTGTGGTGGACGTTTTTAAAATAAAACGAAAAATGCATCGTCAGCGGCGACATCGAGGATCCCAGCGCAGTGACGTCCAGCTCCAGCCTGGAGCGTTGCCAGCCAATGTTCGTATAAATAGCCGCATTCCCACCGCACTGATACCCGTACGAGTGTAGTCAAAGCTACATTTGAAAGAGATCTTCATTTGCCTCTGCTGAAGGATTCGGTTTAACTTTTTTGGCAATAAACTTGTCCCGTGGTAAGGTGTGCAAGGTAATAGTTAAAATAATAATAACCTGCTGACCACCATCTGCCTTTCGAGCATATGAAATTTTTCTTCGTACGATGTAATTTTTTTTTGTTTTAAGCAAAATGTGATTTTTAAAATGAAATTTATGTTTGTAAAACGTCCTTATAACACAGCATAATGTTATCCTACAGTAAAGCCAATGTTTTTCTTTTTTTAAAAAAAAGAGAAAGCCTTGATAATAGAAAGAAATAAACGTTTCTTCTTCTTCTTCTTCTTCTTCTTCCTTGCGTCTAGCAATGTGAAAACTTCGAGTCGGTAATTAAATCGCAAATTAATTTCGGCAAAATGCAAAAATCTAACATACAGGAAATCGAACAAATGGTCGGTCCACAAATAAGGCCTGGTATTGCACAAGTTGAAAAATCCTGCGTATGTGTGCGTTGCGGCGCGCGATCTGTATGCGGGGCGGCGCCGGGGCACGCGCCTAGTGTTGGGGCCGCGTGAGTCACGGCGCCGCGCGGAGTTTCGGAATGCAAGTTATGTAATGGCAGACGGAAATCAAACAATACATGATTTATTACATTAGTAGGACATAAACATTAGTGACTAACGCGTATTTTGTTTTTGCCCGAAGGTCAATCTTAAATTAGATGCGTTACGTCCTGATGAAAATGTTACTCATTCGTATACACCGTAGTAAAAATTGAAATCCTTGTTGCAAATATAAAATATGAGCAATTTCGTTTTTATACTCCTTGAACGGGGACACCTCAATGATTAAAGTAAAGTAACAGCCGATACATGTCCCACTGCTGGGCAAAAGCCTCTTCTATACAGAGGGTATTAGCGCATAGTCTACCACGTAACCTCACAACGGATTGGCTGACTTCACATATATCGAAATATTTTTTTTTAATTATTTCCAAAATATACTGATTTCCTCACGATGTGTTCGTTCACTGCTGAACACGTGATAATTTAGCACTTAAAATTAACCACTTTAATACTTGTTTTTATTAATGTATTAATAATTGGTTCTCGACATTTCACAAGAGTATTCCGTGCGTTCTCTTAAATAGAATAGGTCGTCATTAGAAGGCGACGCTCCTTGGCGGCAGAAGAAATTGCATGGTGCACTGTGATTCTATGCGACGCGATACGCTCAATGATTGAAAGCATTTCGACATAGATCTGATGTTATCGATAGTAACGCCCCCCCTATAGCCTCGTGTCTATTTGGTTTTGTTACTAGTTTTACAAATGTAGACGCGGAAAAGTACGCATAAATGGAATATATGATCCAACAGTACACTGATTATCTACATTTCTTTATATTAGTGAAACAGTCAGTTTCTGTGTCAACTCGTGGTGTTAAACAAATTTCGGTATTCGAATAAAAATAACATATTATATACATAAACACATTCACTAATTCATAATACTACCTGCAGCACGGATGAGGGAGGAAATAAAAAGTACTTATAGTTTTTCGTGTCATACGTCGAGTTACTAGTAAGTAAGCGGAGGCTTACATTGGCACGGAGTGGCAACACTTCTGACCACATATCCATAGGCGGCGCTCCTTACATATACTTAGATGAATCTTTCCTAAGATAATAAAGTAAGTTGAATAATATGGTTAATACACCCTTTTAATATTCTCCATAAAGTCATACAGAACAGAACACGCTGTCATTTTGTGCGCCCTCTAGCCATCAGCATCAATAAAGCTGCCATAGCTGAATTAATCAGAAGACGACGAAGCAACATTAAGCCCAGTCCAATTGGTCAGGCGTTTAGAACAATTAACGACGCACTAAATCTACAGTCGTCAACCATAACTCAAAATAAATCGCTTCCGCTTCGTAGCGTTCTCAACTCGGCGACATTCCCAGACGGCGCTCGCTCTGACCACGCTCCCGAATTTAATAATTCTCCCCGCTCAATAGCCCTATATGTTCACTGCGATTCATTTCTAGTAGTAGAAGGAACTCTAGTGGATTTGGAACTAATTTTATTAATAGTAGCAATATAGTATTATGTGAATCAGTTTTGGACAGACTTCCGAAAATAATCTCTATTTTATGGTCGGCGATTCGAAATAATACTACGTTTGAAGGAAAAGAATTGATGATAGATAAAATACCACGCAGTGTTGTTAACCTTTTATGGAAAAATAAGGTCGTCCACACCTGGGAATAGTGTGAAGAAAATTATTAGATTTGCCTTATGTCATAGTTGAAATATATTATAAATTGGATAATAAGCAGTATTTATGTTTAAACTGTATATTTTTACTTTTTAAACATTATTATTTTTTATTACCCTTGCCTATACGGCTAAAATGTAAAGCAAGAAATGGGGGCAGGACTTAATCGATTTTTCATTTTTAACAGATTAAGATGTATAATTTAAAATAGTTAATTTTAGTCAAGTAGTTAGTTAATTTAATTCCTGCAGGCTGGAAGGAGTTCTAGAAAAACACAAACCTCGTAAGGTAGCTAAGCGCAATAACTTACATTTCATCCACATGCACAAGCATGAAGTAATAAATATTTGCGATAGACACGAACCGCGGCGAAAGCTGTGCCTCGTCACATCGCCTTTGGCGCAGCGTTGCCTTGTTTGTACGGTGCCGCCGACCTATCTGATCAACTATTGAGGGGGTGGCACGTGCCAGACCAGAGAGTTTCATCTCTTTGCGGTCCATTGTTTTACGACGCGTCAAACTGCCAAATACCATCGCTACCACCTCGATGACTGACGACTGTGCGTTTTTAATGCGTGAAACTTTTTGCCACGCACAACCGAGTTGTCGCCAACGGTATTTACAGACATGTACCACTTGGGGACCTTCAAGAAGAGAGCCTAGTCCTTCCTAAAAGTCAGGCAACGCATTTGTGACTCGTCTGATGTTGCGAGTCCATGAGCGGCGGTGAACACTTACCATCTGATGGCCCCTCTGCTCATCTGCCCATGAGTCGAACTCCCATCGCCGTATGCGTTCGTGGGTGGCCAAACGGTGTTGCGTTGAAGCGCTTAGGTAAACAGCTCGCGCTCGAATGCGCCGTGATGTTGGCCGGTGATGCAATCGCGCCCATTTCGGGCGAACCGCGTGATGTATGCGAACCGAGGTGGTTTTACGCTTATCTCTTACCAAGTGACTTAGATGGCGTTATTCGCCCGAATGGAAGAACGCTGTTCGACGTGTGACTTGTGCCGTTTCGGTTTTGCTGGGGCTTAACTAAATTTTGTCTTTAGTTCCTTCATATGTCAAGTATTTTCAAATAATAACTGTACCTGCGGATCTTCATGTTAGTCTTTATAAGTACTCTGTGCGATATATTTCTATCATATGCTTAAAGATATTTCTATCAAACTGACGCGACACGAATACACGGAAACATTGACACGAATCAAATATCATCACGGCCGGTGCGTAGATAAATAAATCTATTAACATGTATAAGACAGTAAACAAATGTCGAGTGACTCATAATCGCTCAGGTGAGCGGTCTTGACGGAGAATTATGTCACCCAATGTTTTATTCAATAAACGTCATATAAATCACAGCTTAATTGTCAATGTCTCAGCATAATTGGTGCTTGTGAAACCCCGGCGAAAAGTAAGCACACGTGGTGTGCGATTTTAGGGGTTTTGGCTATAAAACTTAGTAGGGCACTGCATTTAATTGCGTGGAATATACGCTAAGGTATTATGTTTTACTGTGCAAGAGTTTCTCAGCTAGGACCCAAACCCGTGGGCTCCGGCTAGCCCACCGGTTCTGCGTCAGATGAAGCTTTAATAGTCTCGGGACTGAAAGCACAAACATCAGTTAATACAAGATACAAGATCAACTAGGTAAAGTAACTGTAAAGACCATTCTATTCATTGAGACGGCTAAAGTAATAAAGAGATTGAAATTGAAATTTTAATGGAGTTTAATGGGAATATTCTTACGCTGTATTCCTCAGACACTTTTTTCCCGATACATTAATCATTTTACAAGCAAGGCAAAACAAAGACAAAAGTTTAGGGTAGTTAAAATCAAATTATTAAGATTAAATATTGTACCATGGAGTCTTTCGAGAGTTGATTACCAAATGAAAAGAGATTTGTGTTGGCAGGTAGCCAAAAGTTGCAGAGTCTGCCAACTAGGATCATAGTAAAGTCTTGTACGTGACGTTTCGAAGCAGAATTACGCTGTAGTTTTTAATTTGGCGACGGATCCGCTCGTCTGTTAGCTAGCTAGGAGTATGGGTTCGTTAACCCGAAGTATAATTTACAGAGACCATTTTTGTCTTTGTCACATATGCAATGAGAACAGCGATTGCGGTTTATGAAATTTTGTGCTGTTTGTATTATAAACAAAAAAGCCTCTAGCGGAGTATGTCGCAGATAAAGTTCAACTCACATTAATGGGCGCTAATAGTTGTAAAACTGGAAAACTATTAACTCTATGTCGTCATTTTATTATAAATTATAATGTTCTGATGGATAATTTTTTTGCTTATTTCAATTTTAACACATCTTTTGTATATTCGGACTTCATGTCCTAGTTATACTCTGCGAGTCAGCAAACTGGATGATGCAGAAATAAAAGAAGTATATCTAAAAGTAAATAGAGAATACTGAAACAAGTATATCTAAAACTTTAGAATTATAATGATTAATAACATTAGTATTTAATACAAATGTATTGTTATAAATAGCATTATTATAATAATACATTATACACTGATTTTGATCTCTATTATACTATTATAATAATCAATAACGCACTGTGCACATACATAATTGGAAGGTCTGGCTCAAGGGTTCAACCAGCATGGCTTAAAATGTCAAATCGAAACGTGTTTTTGTATACTATTATTTCTACAAATTTTAATGTTGTCCGCTGTCAAATCGTTGTCGCTTTAGCATCATGGTGAAGTTTTCGTGTTCAAGTATAACGCATTTGTTTTATGTGAGAAGGTGGCAATGAATGCGTTGCTACCTTTTATTAAATTGGGCCCTGGCTACCTCACTCACCAGACGAAACGCAGAAGCACAACACTTTAACTTCACGCCAGTCTTCTGTTAGGTCGTGGTACTTGCCGTACTTGCCTATTCGTGCAACAGCCAACAACCATTGCGCGGCCCTGCCACCGTTCAATTGCATCCGATTAAGCGTCGTCCGTCGGTCGCCTGCAGGCAAGGTGGTGTGCGGCGCGTGCGGCGGCAAGTGCAGCGGCGAGGTGCTGCGCGTCACCGACAAGTACTTCCACACCGCCTGCTTCACGTGCCGCACCTGCTCCGCCTCATTGGCGCGCGGCGGCTTCTTCTGCAAGGACGGACACTACTACTGCCCGCAGGTATGGTGTGCCCGCCGGACTCTGAACACCATCTGTTGCTAACCGTGGCCGATTGCATAATTGGGTATTGGATACACCAGCACTTTAAGGGCTGTTCGTCATATTCGTCGTCTTCGTGTCGTCGTGCACCAGCTACGTTCTTCTCCCGAGTCCGCGGGTCCTCTTCCGCCGAAGCTGTCAAAGCCAAAGGGCTAACAGCAAACTACACGTCACAATAAATAATCGTCGTATATTTACACGACAAGTATTTCTCTTGGTCGATGTACAATATTTTCTTTCTTCTCTTTACAATGCCGCAATACTAACCAAATACGTTTATATTTGACGTGGTTCGTTTGTTATTAATATATACACACATATTATCAATTTTTAGTACCGATTGTCAAACTATCATTTCATCCCTAAAGTTTCAACATGAATTTATAATAAAAGCCCGAGATGAGTCGGGACTGAAACTTAGTTTCGAGCTAATCCAGAACCTTTAATTATGTACGAGATACGTACGTGTCTGTCGACGTCTTATTAAGGTCATGTATAAGAGATTAACTCATTTTATCATTTGCCATTCATGATAATATAAAGCCTACAGAGACAAAATCAAATTAAACCTTTGTTTAAAGGTTATTCTGTTTAACAAAGAATCAACAAGAAACGCTACGTTCATATTAATAGATACTGGAGCATTGGTGGTGACGTTGCGGTGTTGTCGTATTTTGCAGGACTACCAGCGCGCGTTCGGCACGCGATGCGCGGCCTGCAACCAGTACGTGGAGGGCGAGGTGGTCTCCGCCCTTGGCAACACCTACCACCAGAAGTGCTTCACCTGCGCGCGATGCAAGTGCGTACTAACTTCATTGTCAAACAAACAAATTACTTTACTTCTAATAAAAGTCACCCTCTGCAATGTAAAGTAGCTTCTAGATGTATTATAATACGTTTACTTTCGCCCGTTGAGTGTGACTTTTACTTTGGGTCTATAGGAGACGCCATTAGTCGACATCTGGTAAACCACTTGCTTGTTTGCCACCTTAAGATAGCAAAATAGTTACTCAATAGCGCCTTTGAAGGCGCAGTGTCAGTGTAATGACAGTGTCTCGTTGTAAAATTAAGTATGAAGGTATATGAATTTTCGTGAATGTTACAATTACCCGTAGAGTTGCAAATAGGCTTTTTTAAATGGTGGCAAACTTTTAAACAATTGGACACCGGTCACCAAATTCATCAACCGAAGAAATGCAGAAGTAGAGTACTTCACTTCATTCTGGCCCTCTGGATGGGAAGTACCCGAGTGAGCCTGCCCATTAGTGCAACAATAAAGGCTCACACGCATTAGGGTCTATGTAGCTCGTGTTGGTTCGCATGCATACTCATTTGATGGATTTCTCATGAATGAATCATGAATCTTCAATAAATAGTCAAGTTGGCAACCAAAAGTTTAAAACTGAACCCTTTCCAGTGGCTTGTTTTAATAAACATTTAATTGTATCAATTCTGATTGACTGGGAAGGTAAAAACGGTTCTGTTCTATTTGGATAGGAGGTCTCGTGGGTCATCGCTCGGATGGCTCGACGCCCGCCGCGGTTATTACTCCGTCTTTTTGTCGTTCGTCTTCATTGAGCGTCGATCGATCGATCACTTACAATTTGATCACATTCACACTTCTAGTACGCATTGGTTACACAATAAATTTGTTTTAATTGATTTTTCATGGAACAACTAGTTCATTAAATCAGTAGGTACTCAACTGTTAAATAATCATCTGTTTCTTTGGCGATTACATTAGTAGATGATGGATGGATGACTCGGTTGCGCTGTTTGCTAAACTATTGGGTTCGGCATCGGGTGTCGTCGGTTCGATTCCCACATGGGACAAGTATTTGTGTGACCCACAGATAATTGTACCTGATCTGGATGTTTGTTTTTCAAGGAGGGTTGATGACAGGCAAGCGACCAGTCGTAATAATATAGTCAAAACCGCTTACAACATGATTCATATGTTGCGCCGTACCCACCTATGTGGGATAAGGGTAGGAGGATGATGATGGAGGGATTCTTTACTGACATAATCGTGTACTTGAATTTTATTTCCAATGCTTTACAGACCATACGAATTGAGAATGAATCCATGAAATAATTTAATTGAGTCTTTCGCGTATGATATTGTTACATGCCAGTCAATATCGATTGTGTGTGACCAATGCCGACGTTCTGTGGCCCCTTCAGGCGCGCCTTCCCCTCGGGCGAGAAGGTGACGTACACTGGGTCGGAGGTGATATGCGGCGAGTGCGCGGCGCCGCAGCGGCACACCGCGCGCGCGGCCCGCTCCCCGGACGCCGCCTCGCCCGCGCCCCCCGCCGCCCCCGCGAGCCCCCCCACGCCCGGCTCCCCCTCCTCCCCCGCCTCCGCCTCCTCGCCCGCCTCCCCGGACAGGGACGACGTCGACCGGCGGCAACCAGACCCCAACGGTGACTATGTATACTAAATACTACTCTTTCTAAATTCTTCATCGTAATTTCAGCCCGTTCCAGTTCTAATTCCACTGCAGAACATAGAAAACACTACCACGAAGAGTCCTCTTGCATCCATCGACTTCTCGCACATTTGCACAGGTTCCACATCTACTGGGAGGTCGTCACACAATGCGACGGCCAATACTTCGGGACCACCCGACAGTAAATCGCTAAATCTTGAAGCAGACTGTGTGTGTGGTCAACTCGTTGTTGCAAGCCCCCCACAACGCTCGAAAAGCTTGAATTTCGGCATTTTTTTACGTAAAATGGTGGCTAGTGAGATGGCGATTCACCTGATGTTAAGTGATAATCGCCACCCATAGACATTTGCGACACCCTTAGGGTTGCAGAAGCATTGCCACCTTTTAATGATGTGGGCCCCGGCTACCTCACTCACCAGAGGATACGCAGAAGTATAAAACATCCACAACAAGTATAAAACATCACAATTTTCAACGGTGGTAGAGCCACGCGGCAACCTCGGCTGTTGCACGCATGGGCAGGCCCGTCCGGGTAAGTACCACGAGCTCACAGAAGACCGGCGTAAAGTGGAAGTATGACAAATACTTTCGCTTTTCGTCTGGTGAGTGAGGTAGCCGGAGTCCAATTTTCAAAAGGTTGTCAACTCATCTGTAACCCTCGGGTGTAGCAGATGTCCATGGGCAGTATTCACTAAACAACAGGTGAACCGTCTGCTCGTTTGGAGACTTTTCACATTAAAAACAATCCACTTCACGCCCCTCTTCTGTGAGGTCGTGTCACTTCCCCGGACATAAACTGTTGCGTGGCTCTACCATAGTAATGATCTAACTATTTAAAGAACCCTCGCAGTGTGGAAAAAAAAATATAGTACCCCACCCAACATTCATTTCCCTTATTAAGGCATTTAAAACGTCGCAGTTTGTCTCCTTGTTTTCGTTATGCTTTCGTTTTTGGCATAATCATTTGGTTTTCCAATTATGCTAACGAAAACGGAGAGAATAACATTTAATGACAATCCGATATTTCATATACAGCAACTTAACAACATTACGAGTACATAACGTCCATTTGTATATGTGTCACGTATTTCGATGGACAACTGAGAGGGCGAAGAGTACCAGACCCATTGAGTCGAGATGTTCGCATTGAGCCGCGGCCCGACCTCCGCCGCGGGGCCATTGTGTTCGGCAATTTGTCACCACTCACTTCGTTTCGTGTCGGATACGATCTCATCGAGAGAATTAACGTAACGGTTTAAGATTAAACCTTTGTTCATATTTGTCGCTGGCTACGCCTATATCTCTAGTGTGCTCTTTTTAATGCAATTATTTAATGGGTGAGATGTAAAAACGGAATTTCTTATTTTATTCAAAGTGTTTATTTCATCTGAATAGTAATAATTATTTTGTGTAAACCTAAAATATATAATATGTATAGTCTGTTATGTAATAATAAAATAATTTTTAGAATTTCTTGCTCGTTACAGATTGCGCGGGCTGCGGACAAGAGCTCTCTGAGGGCCAGGCTTTAGTAGCGTTAGATAGGTAAGTTGGTAAAAACCACTGACTCCTAGTGTATAATTCATGGTGAAATTAATAGATTACGATATACAGCGTGTCGTTACCACCGCGACAATAAATGAACACACATATAGAGGATAACTTTTTAAAATTGTATTAAACATTTACATTCTTCAAACATCAATATTTACCGAGTTATTAAATTTTCCAAAACAAACAATTTTAGAACACCCTTACGTATAAAACTGTAACGTGAAGTTCAAGTTCATTTGTAAAGGTGCACAAAAAGCACGCTATCGCATATGAATGGGGGTTGAATGAATTTAAAAGAGACAAAACATACTGTTAGAAGGAGAGGCTTGTAATGCGACGCTGTGGCGCGAGTTGTATACGATGTTACAAATTTTCTTTCTTTTTTACTTAATTACTTTGTTTGAAAAATATTTTTTTATAATTATGGATTTTGTTTAACGTTAATATTTTTTTATGATTATTGGCAAGTAGTAGCGTTAGACCTGTGTTCATTTTTGTCGCGATGGTAACGACACGCTGTATATAAATTCGATATAAACAGTTAGAGACGCATACACTCGTGAAGCACACACGTAGCTCGTAAAACTCGTAAAGGTCGTAAAGCTCGTAAAGCTCCGGTGAGAAGTGAGAAGTGAGAAGTGAGAAGTGAGGCGTGGCACTAAGAGAAGTGGGGCGCGGCAGGCAGTGGCACACGTGGTGCTTCGCGTGCGGCGAGTGCGGCGGCGTGCTGCGCGGCGAGTACATGGGCCGCGGCGGGGTGCCGTACTGCGAGCGCGACTACCAGCGGCTGTACGGCGTGCGCTGCGCCTACTGCCGCCGCTACATCTCCGGCAAGGTGCTGCAGGCGGGCGACAACCACCACTTCCACCCCACGTGCGCGCGCTGCACCAAGTGCGGCGACCCCTTCGGCGACGGCGAGGAGATGTTCCTGCAGGGCGCCGCCATCTGGCACCCGCGCTGCGGCCCCGCGCCCCACGACCCGCTCGCCGTCGAGCGCGCCTGCTCCGAGCTGCAGGTGATCCCCCGCATTATTCCCCCTCGCATTTTATTTGTACGCACATCTTCAATCGCGCAGGCCACGATCATCTATTACCGCTGAGTTAGCTCAGCAGCTCGACATTATGACCCTCATGCCACATAATACTTCTTTAACAGTAATAAGTGAATCCGTTACAACTCCATTTACCACATGTGCATATGAGCTGTCTCTACCCGATCGTATGCAGTGGGTGTAAGATGATTGTTGTGTCGCAGTTCTCGCTGCGATCGCGAACGCCCAGCGTCAACGGCTCCTACTGCAGCCCCTACAGTAGCTTGACCCGCAAGGTTCCGTTATTTTGCTTTTATTTTTGTTTTTTCAATGTCTTCGATTGGTGTCGTTTTGGTAGATTTTCTGTCAAATTTCAATGGTAAAATTTAATTTGTACCTATAACTGATATTGCTTCAATTAGCAAAAGTCTAAAAAATATGAACGACACCGATTGAAAACATATTAATTTATTTTATAATTTAATTTTTTTATTTTATATCTTAATATTTTGTTGCTCTCGAGCTCAGTTCAGTTATATTGATTTATCCTTATTGGCTATTAATAATTTCATAACATTATAAACAATCAGCGAGGTAATTGTAATGAAAAGCTTCAATAAAAAAAACCAAGCCAACGTGCCTTTTGGTGTGAGGAACGCGCCGGGCGTTTTCCACAGCGTTCGCACATGAGCGTCGGGTATGTTGTGTGCGCAGTACGGGTACCGCGGCATGTCGCCGGGGCTGGTGCTGCGCGGCGAGCGGGGCGAGAGGTCGGGCGGCTCCTCGCCGCACCGCATCACCACCTACTCGTACCTGGCCAGCGAGCCGGCCACGCTGCGCCGCTGCGTGCAGCCCTACGACCGACCGCCCACCTCGCCACACTTCCACCGCCCGCCATGTTAGTGCAAGCCTCGAGCCCCTCCCCATCTCCCTTCTCCCTTCTCCCTTTTCCCCTGCCTCTATATTAGCATGAAGCGGTAGCCTATACGCAAACGCTGCTGGCCAAGGGAATCCTATCGTTCTGCTCTCCGCTACGCGACGCCTACTATGAATTGGCAAATTTTACATGGCTTACAAAACCTTTTTAATTGTTATGTTCGCAACGCTTTTGTGACTCCTCCTATGTTGCAAATGTTTATGGGTGGCAGTGATTACTTACTTTCAGGTGATATGCTTGTCCTTTGCCTACTTTTCCCTAAGAATAAAAATAAATATGCATTAATACTCATATCTTCTTCGTCAGCACTAGAAAATGCTGTTAACAGTATTGTTGGAAATTAGATTGCTAGCGATATAATAAACCAAAATGGGGTGCCCGGACTTTGAGCTATTACAGCATGAAAAAAAAAGAGTAATTTATGACAATCTTACTGAATCGGTTTATTAAGCTAATTAGTTTATGTAGCTTGGTTCAACGGCCCCGGTTCAGCACTAGAGCTAAATAGTAAATGGCAAACACTTGTCCAGTTTGGGATCTATTCCCACAATGGACGAGTGTTCGTTTGTAGTGTGGTCAATATTATATAGATGTTTGTTACCCTTTCATGCAAAAAATCTTGAACGGATTTTAATGCATCAGAATACAGTTTATCGTGGCTAAAGCGCCAAGTAGCAGTGATGCACATATAAACTTGCAGCTTCGGCCAGCACGCGCGCCAGCTCGCGGCCGGGCAGCAAGGCGTCCTCGCGGCCCGGCATGCGCGCGCTCGTCGACTCCATGCGCAGCGAGACGCCGCGCCCCAAGTCGCCCCGCATGAACAACGAGGTGGCGGCCTAAACTACACTGAACACATTCACTACTACACGAACTATGAGCAATATCCATCGTAATATTTTATTGCTATTTCAGGAGCCGATCGAGCTATCGCACTACCCGTCGGCGTACAAGCCTCCGCCCGGAACGAAACCGAAGATAGAACGAGACGACTTCCCCGCCCCGCCCTACCCGTACACGGATCCGGGTGAGACCTTCCTTCTAACATTATCTACTTTATTAATAGTTATTTAAGGTCAGGTTCTAGTAAGATTAACATTGACTTTTTAAGAGAATAAAACTCCCTGACGCAGTCGCCAGCGGTCCTGGGTTCGATTCCCACGAGGGAATTTTTCCAGATCTGTGTGAAATCTTTGTTGGCAAAACGTCCTTACAACAACGGATAAGGTCATCCCAAATTAAGGGCAGTGTTTTCAAAAGACTACACGTGAAAAGTGTAGCGGTGTGTATACGAAGCGAGTGATCGTGGGCAGAGCGGCGCCGGCGCTGGTCGGACACGTACAAGGGCGTGGCGGACAGCGACGAGGAGGAGGCGAGGCCCAACGGCAAGCTGAACGGCGTCGACGACAAGCTGCGCCGCGAGGAGAACGAGCTGGCCAAGATCGAGACTGGAATAGCGCAGGTCGGTGGCTCTCTTTTCTCTTCTTTGCATGGTGGTGAATGCGGCACGAGAGCGTTACGAAGTGTGGATAAGGGGAACGGAAGTTGAGAGGGAGATATCGCTTGCTTTTTTTATGGGGAAAGCCGGCAAAGCCGCTCATGAGCGCACAATGACCTGTTGTACGGGATGTTACGTAAAGGTGTAGTAATATTGCGAGATGTGTATGTATCATATACCCAAATGGTAAAAACTGAATCTTGCATTGACTAAAGTTACGTTTTCAGTGTAGAGACTACTCTTATCTTTAGAATTATAGTGACTTAAGTAATCGAAAAATTGAGGAATATGTTTGTAGATTCACTAGAGTTGTTATCATAGTGAACTAAAATTTCCAGGCTAGTTAAATTCTTTAGAGATTTGGGACGTGAATCAAGAGACATTCTGATGGTCATTTAAATGTTTTCAGGTGTTCTTGAAGGAGGTTAAGGAGCGCGAGAAACTGCAGCAGTGGAAGAAGCAGAATCTGGACCCCAGGAACGCGAGCAGGTGCGGGATTCATTCGGGTGGGCTAGAGGGGTCATGCGCGAGCACTCCACACATGCCACTCATGCTTTGCAGACCCTGTAGTCTCTGACACATGCCCCAAAACACTGAAACTGACGAGTTCAAGTTATATTTTTTTTTCGTGTAAAGAAATAAACTTAACATCTTAGATTTTTCAAAGGCCACTTAGGATATCATATAATACACCTGTTATGTTATCGCCAATCAATTAAAAAATGTAGAAAAAAAATTTCAAATAGCCATTTTTTTTTTGAAAACATAATTTGTAATAGTTTGTCCGCCGTAAATAGGGCTGCCTACTGTCGCAATAAAGTGTTTCTCAAAGTTTAATTTATTCCTCCTCTGAAGATGTATTCTCGTGAGCTCACAGTCTGGAGCCCGTCGGAATAGAGCGGTTGTGTGTCGGCAGGACGCCGTCGGCCGCGCGCGAGGCGGCGCCGCGGCTGCGCTACTCGTCGCCGGTGGGCGCCTCGCCCTCGCGCCACCTCGACCACCGCGACCACCGCGACCACCGCGACTCGCGCGCCTCCGCCGACCCGCACCTGCCCTCCTACAACGGTGCGCCTTTTCGACTCAACTGAATTTAAAAATATTCCTTTCTTATGGGACTAATTCATCTTGGAACATACATCGTGCTCCAAAATCAAACAGCGATGTTGTTTTAACATTTCCTTTTCATTCCCCCTCCAGTTCATGTATTAATTATTAAATGAATAAAAATGAAGCGCTTGCAATGAAAGGCTTGTGTTGCAGTGGTGTCGTCGCTGCGCTCTGCGCCGCGTCCCGGCTACGGGCTGGCCGCCAGGTCACACACATTCTCCTCCAGTACGGCGGTGAGTACCTCTACTGCCTCCTCCGTTTCTTCTTCCTCTTCCACATGTTCCGCCCCATCTGCTTCTTCTACCGTTACCGCTCCTTCTTCATCTACTGCCTCTTCTACATCTACTGCTTATTCCACTACTTACGTGTTCCTATTGTTTCCAAACCTGCAGTCCCTCTAGTTTCAATAATCATCAAATTTAGTACAAGTTTACCATCTTTAAACGGTTTTATTTAGCTCGACCCGTACGGAATTTGTTTGTTTATTTATTTGGGTCAAAATTAGAAATTGAAATTCAAGCACCTTGCCGTTGTCAGATTGATCTGAAATTTGGTATACACGTTTAATTTAGATGACAATACAATATTAACAAAAAAAAAAATAACAAAAAAAAAAACATAAAATAAAACCGTTTAACTTAAAAGTTTTTTAAAGTAATTATTGATGTATTAGTATAAGGTATTTAATAATAAAAACCACACGAATAAGGAAAATTACGTCCAATTGACGGGTAGGTACTTATTTTGAAATAAAAGTGAACTAAACTTCTCAAATCTTATTTTGTTACAATTAAAACATACAACAAAACATAGTACGATTCGGATAATATTTATTTCCTTCTTCTTTAAAATTCCCTAAAAATATAACGTTATTTTCTTAATATAAGTTACCTATATATATATATATATATATATATATATATAGTCCTTTTCCATTACTTGTTTGATCCAGCAAAATTAAAAGAGTACTTTGTTGATCCACCTTTCTGTCCAAATTTACTTGCCCTTAACCTTTATTTTAAAGGCTGGAAAGCATATATTTGAACAGCGTATTGTGTCGCTTAGACATATTTCTTAATTCAGCAATATACTCTAACTGTTGTTTTATACTTTTACAAAGTATTTGTGGCTCCGCGTAACGGTTTTTTCTCAGGCACTTTTTAAACATTTCTTGATCCCTGTGAGCGCGCATATGCAGCTCGACGTCAGTGTTCGTAAAATTAATTCCACAGTGTTTGTAATAAGAACTGAATTTCCATGTACATTTTCTATTGAGTAAATTATTACTATATGTCGAATATAATAACCTAGATAAATATAATTGACAAAGAGATGGTTATACCCTATTTCTTATTAATTAGTTTACCATAGGATGCTAGTGAATAATTATTTTAATATTGTAGATATTATCGCTTGATATTAATGAATCCTTGGGATACTATCAAAATACCTACTTACTATAAAGTGTATAGTTTTGTTATTATGCTTATGAGCACATGCAGCCTGTATTAATTCGATTGATGTGAAGCCCAAAATGCTGTACTCCTAAGTAGGCATCCAAATATTATCCCGAGTTCATTTAAGCAACTGGCGCGGCGGCGAACTATGAACTCAAAGAATATTATTAATTATTATTTTTATACATATAATAAAAATTTAACTGATTGTTGTTTGTACATGGAAGATATTTGAGAAAAACTATTATTAGGGGCCTTTATCAACGCAGTAGAACCCAAAACAATGATAGTTAAAATTATTGTCTGTTTATCTGTTTGTCTGTGTGCGCTAACTTGGCTAAAACGGCCTTTCCGATTTCAGTGCAACTTTTACTAATGTATCGTAGTAAGCTTCTCTTAACATTTATTGTTAGTTTTATTTAAGTCGGATGATAAATAAAATAGTTATATCAACTTAAACAACCACATTGTAGATTTGTGCGATGAAACTATAGTTAACTATGGTCTGTAAAATTATGGTTTATATAAAGTTAAAAAAAATCGCCCAAGTGCGAGTTGCAGTTGCGCACGAAGGGATCCGTAGGTATTTTTAAGCACGATATAATGTGCGGGCGAAGCCGCGGGCGCAAGCTAGTTGTACAATATATTGCTACTATTGCACTAGGATAGGATAAACGGATCAACAACGGTCGCAATGTAATGCGACAAATGATATAATGTGAAAATTTCTTTAAAGAGACGAGACTGACAATACTTTAGTTTTATTTTAACTGTTAAATATGTTTACAAGTCATTGCTCAACTCATTATCAAATATGAGTTTGGTTACAAGATAAAAAATTATTATTGTGTATTATGTAATCAATAGTATTATTTAAGCTAGTGTTATTCAGTGGGTTAAAGTTAGATTAGTTAAGAGATAATGTGCGATTTATCGGACAAATCTTTACATCAAAAGGGAAACTCAAAGAATTGAGCGAAAAGTAAGTGATTTTTATTAAATGTAATCTTAATTATAGTCTAGTCAACAAGTGCTTTTTTAACGAAAACCTGTTTAACTTCACGAAAATTATGGTTTTATGTGGCACAAGAGAAATACATAATCTGTGAAAATTTCAACTGTCTAACTATCACCATTACCACATGAGATACAACGTGGAGCCTGGTGACAGACGGACAAACTGACAGACAGACAGCGGAGTCTTAGTAATAAGGGTTCCGTTTTACCCTTTGGGTACGGAACTTCAAAAAGATTATTTTAACCAAATAAAATAGAATATTAAGGAATAAAAAATATAGTTCTTTCTAGACACATGAATAAATAATAATACGACGAAAAAAAATTAAGATTATTTCTATGTAGTCTAACCCACAATACTTTTGTCACTTCTTGAAAGAGTTTAGAAAAGATTGCCAAAAAAAATTCTAATTTTTCATTGTTTTATTACCAATCTAAAGCATTGAAATATGAAAAACGTTAATAAATCAATCAAGATTTTTTTAAATTTTTTTATTATTCTGTCCCTGTAAAAAAGATTACTTGAATTGTTAAAATAATTATTATAAATAAATACATTGTTTATAAGATTTTCAATTTTTTTCTTTTAGGAATATGATGCTTAATGAAAATATGACATTTAAAAAAAAAATTGTCACTGCTAAAAACGCTTTTTCTAAATTACAATTGTTTGTTGCTTAGTGTTAACATTATGGAACCATTTTATTCTTCAACATTATTTTTTAAATATTGAAGTAGAAGTACATTCATTTTATACATGAATTAAATAATTAACTGTTGAGTATTGATACCAATATTTTTTTATTAATTATTATAATATGTAAATTCTTAAATAATCTATCACGCGCGCAACGAATTTACATTAAAATATAATGGTTACATTAAAATATAATGTTGCACGTGAATCAGAAAAGCGCGCGAGCGCTAGATATTGCTGGCCCTTTAAAGCATGTATTTCAAAAAATATCACATTCACGAGATACAGTAATTCTTCTTAATAAGTAGGCACTGACGTAAAGTGATGATCTCAACCAATGAATGCTGCAGTTGTTGATCCGAATGGAGCCACTAAATAAAATACATATGGTATTGGATCAACAAATCGGGTATGGATCAACAAATTTAAGCGGATCAACAAAAAACTGATCATATATATATAGGTAACTTATATTAAGAAAATAACGTTATATTTTAGGGAATTTTAAATATATATATATATATATATATATATATATATATATATATATATATATATATATATATAATATAAGTTACCTATACCTCCCCACTACCTTCCCAGATTATTTGACTGTAGTGAAATCAAGTCAAAATCACGTAAGCCTATCTGAAACGAACCATATGAAAATTGTACAGATATTTATTTATTTATACTTTATTGACAACACACCAAAAAAATATACAAATGAAAAGCAATTACAAATGAATGTAAAAGGAAGTACAATAGGCGGTCTTATCGCTCAGAAAGGGATCCAGACGACCATTGCGAAAATTGTACAGATAGGGTGTTACAAAAGAGCGTAGTACAATTGTGGTGTCTCGATGACTCCAGGGTGACTTCACGTTCAGCGGGATGGGCGATAAGACGCACAGCACCGACTTCAGCAGCGGCAAGTCAGACAGTAAGTACAGTCGCCCGATGATTCCTTTACACTTTTTCGGTTTCTCTCTTGCTCTATCTATCCTATTGAAAGTTATCTAGTCCCAAACTAAAAATTGACTATAAAGTACATTAATTGTACTTTTATCTTGTACATAAATACATGTTGCAGACATATAAATACTAATAATATAATAATATAAATACTCACACAAAAACACTACGCAGTGGGGTTCGAACCCAAACTCCCGTGCGCAAGAGTCAGGTGCACTAGGCACTACTCAAAGAGGTCCTTTAATATTTTGTTTTAGTAAAGTAGAATGTTTTATAAATTATAACTTCTATCTCGTTAATGTTTTTTTACATTTCGCTTAAGAAAGAGTTTTTTAAACTCAATTTTTTTGTGTTAATAGGTATCTTATATAAATGTGTATTATTTGTATATGCCCATATCTTAAATATTAAAAGTGCAATTGTGCCATTTAAATTACACGCGCATCTGTTAACTGACGAGGTTGATATAATTTGATTCTGTGCACGCAGTGCGGACGGACCTCTGCAGTAAGTAGCAGACAGGGACAGGGCGATGTGGGGCACTCGCGTGCGAGGGAGAGGACAGTGGCAACATCCTGCTCATCTTGCTTAACTTATATTCTTTATATTCATTATCTTTTCTACACTATCCTAGATCTATTGCACCCGAAACATCAACTAATCTTATGTCACGCCAAAGGCATGTCGTGTCGCTTGGAAAGTTGTTTTGCGCAACATAAATTATTTCCTTGATGCCTAACAACAGATTAAAACATATTCAAATTCAAAACTATTCTTCCATACAAATTGTAATCAACGTGGACCTGTGACCATCACAAATCAATTGCTATGATAACAGTATGATTGGGATATTTCATTTAATGTAAGAAGTATTTAATCTATAAATACATGTTTGTCAAAGATTTTAAATGCAGAACAACATTCCGGAATCACTATTCGCCAAGTCCATTTTTTTTATTATATACATCTTACGTAAATAACAGTCAAATACAAGTAGGTAATGACGCAAGCTTACGTAACGTTTTTGACTTCAAGCTTAAGCTTCTACTCGTATTGGTTCGTTTGTAGGACAACAGTGCAGTTGTCCTAAGCCGTCGTTCACACAGACTCACAATTCAAAGCTAGTGATTTTTTCTCATCATCGGCAAGCATCACTTTAGGCTTCAATCAGGCTTCAATCGGTAAGCTGGGTTGGAAACCATTCATCGCCAGGATTGCTTTAGCGACCGATAGTTTCGACATAACGTAGTTCGAGGAAAAAAGCTGTATTCTAATAGAATTGGCAAAATGCTAATCCAGGTTCCGTATATTCCAGTATCTGCCGGCTCCATCACAGATGTTGATAGAAGTGCTGTGGTGAGTATTACATTCCTTGGCCTCCTATAACCGCGAAATTTTCCGTTGAACTATAATTATATTTTTACCAATACGTACAAGTATCGCTTGCAAATGGTCGAAAAGAATGAAGACAAAAGAAATGATATACTTAGACTACTGTTTGGTATGGTAGGTATGGTAGGGCCACAGTGCCATGTGGTAGGGTCTTCGATGTTGCAAGAATGGGTAGGTCCGTCCGGGGAAGCACCACGATCCCACAGAGGACTCAGCGTGAAATGGAAGTGTTATTCTTTCTTATCGTGTATACTTTTTTAATGTTGGTAACGCATCTGCAACCCTACGATCGTCGCAAATGTCCACGGGCACTTGAAGTGAGGTGAACCGCCTGCGGACGTTGCAATATATGTGCGTGTGATTGTGATTGTGGTGGCGGTGGCGGTGGCAGAGCACCGAGGGCGGCGTGGTGGTGCGCGGCGGCAGCGCCGTGGGCGGCGTGGTGGGCAGCGTGGGCGGCGTGGGCGTGGGGGTGGGCGTGGGCGTGGGCGGCGTGGGCCCGCGCGGCGGCGGCGTGCGGCGCTCGCTGCCCAACATGGCCACCTCGCACCTGATGCACGAGCCCGCCAAGCTGTACCCCTACCACCTGCTGCTCATCACCAACTACCGGCTGCCGCCTGACGTGGACCGCCTCAACCTGGAGGTGAGCTCTCTCTCTTTCTCTGGCTATCTCCGTCTCGCTCCCGCACTGTCACTGACGGCTCCCCGCCCGCAGCGCCACCTGTCGGACGCGGAGTTCGAGGCCATCCTGCAGGTGGCGCGCGCCGACTTCTACCGGCTGCCGCAGTGGCGCCGCAACGAGCTCAAGAGGCGCGCGCGCCTCTTCTAGCCATCACGCGCTGCGACCGGCCCTTCCAGAACACCTTTCTGTCTAATTTATACATAATATATTGATGATATTACTATAACCTCTACATAATATCTAGCTTGTAAGTGCGGCGGTGTGATTTTTCCTCCTATTTAAATACGTTCGACTGTTCATAGAACTGTCCGTCTGTCAGTCGTAGGGGGGGACGGGGGATTGAGCTTGCCCGATTTTTGTTACTCACCATGATCATGACGATGTTTTGGGTCGGGGAAAAGCTAAAAACTTAACGTTATGTTTACCGCAATTAGAAAATTATTATTGCGCCTCTCCCCCTCCCCCACTTGTTCCTCAAGGGGAACAGCTATAACTATCGCGCGCATGCCCGCAAACACATACGCACGCGTCTCCTTAAAGTGTCCTCGCACTGCGTATGTGTTCGCGTCGCTTGCGTGTATACGTGTATGAGTGTGTGAGTGCGTTTGTGTGCCTGAGAGTCTGTGTGTATGTAGAAGCTGGCGCAGTTTGCAGTAGTGAGAACCAAATATATGATTACTATAAGAGGAAACATATTTTGTATTAAGTGTAAGTTGAATAAACGATGATTGTACTAATGTACGTGTAAGTGCAGCTTTTTCGGTAGAGGCCCGGTGGCGGCGGCCTTGGCCCGCTGTAAATAGGGTTCAATTCCGCTTGCGCTGACAACGGACGCCTTTATGTATACATCGGTGCTGAGTCAGCTTAGAGATTATTCACTCCTGTCTTCTAATAACTCACCTTTAGGGTCCACCGATCGGCGGATCCTAGCGCATCCAGATTTCATACATCACATACACATGTTGTATGCCTATCCATGATCCAATAAAGTAGGATTTCACTACGAAACCGAATAAAAAGGTTAACTTGAAACTGCTTCGTATGTTACATTTGTTAACAATATTTTATGTATACACCCTTTTGATTATTCAATGCTGTGCAGTTGATGTCGATATGATATAGTTGAGGGCGCACCGGCAGCTCGGTTCGGCGCCTATTGTTGTTTTTAATGTTATTTTAGCGGTTTAATGTGCGTGTTACGATTGCGAGGGAGCGGGTGGATGAATGGTGCGAAGGGGACGAGATACGCCTGATTTGTTACCATTGACTCTGGACGTTGTACCATTTTAAGTGTCGACGATCTCCCGGGGGTCGAGTTGAATTTTAATTTGCGTTGTATCGCGTGAAACGGCACGATGGTATTAACATTGTAGAATTTGAGGAAACAGTGTGGTCAGCTGTCCGGTCGACGTCTATGTTTACAATGTACAATTGTATGTTCTTATTGTGATAGTGAAATAGCGACCGTGCGCTTCACCAATACCCTGGGGCAGGTCGAATATTCCCGCGGCGACCCACTTTGCTGTATTCCAAACTGCATTACGCCAATTAACAATAGACCAACACGTGCTAAGGGCTTCGTGCGAACGAAGAGCTTCATGTTATTTATATTGAAATGTATCTAGCTGTATATAAAGATTATTTTCGTAATTGTAGCGTTACATAGCGTTATATTGTTCCGGCTTCGTAAACGATAACAGAGTCAGGAATGATTGTGGAGATGACGCGAGAGCGGAACGGAGTGTTCCTTCTAATTGAACTTGTGAAATGATCGAGGCGACACTCCGGCGCCGTTTCGAGCGCCATCTTGCGGCCGATCGAGAGCGGATTATCGGTGATTTTATGTAAAGACTATGCTTTGGAAGTAATAAAAATTGCATTTCTGACTATATCCGCCTTTCGTTTCATTTATTGCCCCCAAATCTGAATTTAATGGAACATCGAGAGAAGAATTTTATAAGAAATAAAACAATAAACACTTGTGCTGCAACCTTATTGATTACATTGCATCTAAGGACGAGGTCCGTTGACGGTCTGGTCCATTAAATCTCCACCACAGCAACTTGCGGTTGAGTGAAAGTTAGGAAGAAAGAATTATACTTTAAAAATGAAATAATTCTGTTGGTAACTTTTAAAGGTCATGAAAAGTGTGACGCTTTCTTTACAAGCTCAATTGCAAGAAAAATATTTAATTATACTAATAAAAATATACCAATACTACAAATTGTTACTAATATACAGGGAGGCTTTTCTAAGTGTAATTCATTAATTACATTCATTTGAACTTATCTCAAAAAAAGCGTCATTTATGCGCAACTCATTTATTTTACGCGGGATCATTCACAACTATCATCCACACAAGTTCGTGCACAGTAAAATTTAGGTATTTATAAATGACTACCGCATTATCAACAAGTGTTTTTAAGGGGAATAGAATAGCAATTTTTTTAAAAAAATGTTTGTTTTTATTTCAATAAACGATTATACTACCGAGTCTGAACCTTCCGCATACCAATACTCACATTATCCTCATTACCTACTTATTTTTTTTCGTGGGTAAGTTTTAAAAGTTTTAAGAGAATGAGAAAAGTATGTTATCATAATTTTTGTACTTTTACAGTGGTTTCAATTATGATACATCTCTTTAAAAGTTTATTCTTTAAAGAAACGTCTATGGTACCTAATCTAATATAATAGATTCGATATATTGGAGCCTGAGAAAAACAAGATCACGAATGACACTCGTGGGACGTGGATATATAAAGTAGGTGTTCTAAATACTAGATAACCTTTTTTATCAAGACTTTAATTTCATAATTATTTTCTAATTTTTAGTAACATTTGTGTATCTATCGAATGTTTTTGTACGTGCACGTATTTAAGAGATAATTCTTAGAGATTAACAAAATGGACATTCACCTCTAGAAAGGTTAGGTTAGTTAGGGCTATTTTGATATGGTATCAGGATTTCTTAAGAATTACAACATTTTGATTGTATTCGTAAATACTGTTTATGAATTCTCTCTTCAATTTATAAATATGCCACAATTGGAAACTTCAAACTTATCAAATAAATAATTATTATAATAATATTATTAGAAATGATTTTATAACAGTGACGTGAATGCTACACATAATATTATAAGTATGATTTTTTTTATTATATATTATTATTGTGTTTAATAATTGGTTTCATGGAATTGTTAACTTTCATTTTTTAATTTTGTTTCGACTATTTTATAATTATTGGCTACACTATCGCATTGGTGTGTGTAATAAAACAATAAATAAAAATAAGACCGTCTACTTTCGTAGCCTGGTCTTAGTCCTGTCCTCAAGTCCTGCATTATAACTCATTTGCAGATTTCAACTGATCGTGGTAGGGCCATGCAGCATAGACCAAAAGATCACACCTGAGCTGAGTAACCTTTAGGGAAACCATACTACCGATCGTTAATCAGACAGTGCTCCTTAAAGTAAATATGGGGCTTGCAGTAAATAATAGATTCGATTAGACATAGAGTTAGTGGCAGTGAGTCCGCAATTATCTATCGCTGAAGAATGGGATGGCCCAAATCCGTCCAATCCGAGCGTTGGCCTATTTTTGGGTTCCGTATCTCAAAAGGTAAAAAGGAACCCTTATAAGATCACTCTTTTATCCGTGTGTCACCTATTTTCTTAGGAACGGGTGGACTAGCAAGTTGAAATTAGCCCTTGATCAGCTATGGGTTCTTAAGTATAAATTGATAAAAAAAACATTGAATACTCTTATTTAATAAGTTTCACTCAAAGGCTATAAGGCTCAGACAGAAATGAGTGTGTTTAAATATGCGGGGCCCTCTTTGGCGCGGGGACCGTAGCAATAGGTACTCTTAATACGTGGTTAATCCGGCACTGACGGAACAGCATGATGAACAAGCCCAAACCTTCAAGACTGTAGAGTTGACGAATACAAAGATTCTATTAAATATACGTACCAACTCCGTCCTGTGGCATAAAAGAGACTTCAAAGTGCCAGAAACGACATTAAGATTCGAGTGATGCCCCTTTTTTTTTTTTTTTTTTTTATTTATTTCGGATCGCAAACAAAACATTACACTTGAACATTGCCTATAGATACAAGGTTATAAAAAAAAATATAACAAGTGAATATTCCACTATAAGCGAACACATCATGTACACATAAATAATGCTCTCAACATGTAGGTATACAAGTCTTCAAATTATGTGAAGTAGAAAATTTAAACTTAAAAATAATTTAATAAACATAGAAAAAAAATCTACGAAAAAAATAATAACAATGAATGCAGTTAGTAACTAAAAAAAATAATCTAAACTATAAAAATTATAAATTATAAAAAAAAAGAAGAAAATAAAATAAGTGGCTAAATATCAACACATTTCATGACTTACAATAAATAAACTTTTTAATATTGCATTGGACATTAAATATGTCAAGCTCTGAACATATGGCATTATAACTTGAACAAATACGATAAATCGGTGAATGCTGACCATAGCGACAACGGCGTAGGGGCAGCGCGAATATCTTCCGTCTCTGTATACGACCACCAGCTCGTGGTAAACTAATATTTAATTTAGAAAGAAGTTCAGGGGAATCTATTAGGCCGTGCAATATTTTATAAAGAAAAGTAATATCCGTAGCTCTGCGCCTTTCGAAGAGAGTTTTCATTTTAAAGTATCGTAGTCGATGGGTGTAAGAATTTAAAATATGGCACAGATTATTGGCGAAAGACAAATGGTACAAAAATTGCTTTTGAATTCTTTCAATCCTATAGATGTGAACACTGTAAGAGGGGCTCCAAGCAGGTGAACAATATTCCAGTAAGCTTCGAACATAACAATTGAAAAGGATGATTGGTATTTCAAAGTCCCTGAAAGTTTTTGTCTGTCTTATTACAAAGCCTGCCAGCTTAGCTCCCTTTTTAACGATGTAATCTATGTGTTCGTGAAAATCTAATTTTTGATCAACAATTATTCCCAAATCACGTATACTTGAGACTTCGACTAACTGAACGTCGTTTATAGTATATTTAGTATTGTTCGATCTTTGTTTACGGGTAAAATTGATATGGAAACATTTAGAAGTATTAAGTACCATTTTATTCCTGTTGCACCAAATG